TTCCGACTCATTTTCTCTGTTGTTAATTGTCCCTTTGTTTTCATTCATTGATTGCTAACTCATTTGTTTGATATCCAATGTTGTTTTTATTTCTGATTATTTTTGTTCCAGAGGTTCTTGTTCTTTTATTATGGGTGTTGGGTTTTCCTTTATCTCTCTGATGATCTCAGGTGTATTTCTGGTCAAGTCATCTTCAGGTTGTTCTGCTTATTTTCACTTCAGGTAGAGTACACTTATCTGTCTGTTGTTCAGTGTCTTTTCTTTTTTTGTGGTACGTGCCTCTAGCGGGAACTGAACCCGGGACGCTCTGGTCCACAGACCGACGCTCAACCGCTGAGCCAAACTGGCCAGGGCCTCAGTGTCTTTTCTTAGGGTGTATTTGCTTCATGTGTTTTGAAATTTTAGATTGTACTCTCATCTAGAGTGGGAAGTGTTGTTTGTTTTCTGGCCTTATTTTCCTCGTTTTGTTCTTTCCTCTTTGTTCTTTCGTCCTTAACAGCTTTGCAGTGACTTCCACCTGAACGCAGAGCGTCCCCAAGCCAGACTCAGTCTTCTGTCGTTTGACCAGGGTCACACCAGGTCCCGATGAGACACAGCGGCTCTCAGGGCCGCGCGACGAGAGTCACGTGGGGACGGAGGGTGGTCCCTGCCTGCCCTGCTCTGATGTCTTTGCCCCAACAGCCCTTGGCTCCAGCATGTTTCAACCGCCTTTTCCAAGGAGAACTCCGTCCCTGGCACTATTCCAGGCCGCATCCTGGCGTGGTAGCCTTCCTGCAGGTCTCCGTGGCCATGGGAGTGGAGCTGGTGGCCATCTCTGCAGGGACCTGTGCCAGAACCAGGAGCAGGGAGGCTTCGGCCCACCACTGCTCTGTTTCTGCGTCGCTGCGTGTGTGTTACAGGTGTGCGTGTGTGTGTGTGTGTGTGTGTGTGATATTTGTTTAGTAGGAAGGGAGTCCCGATATGTATAACTTAAGTCAGAAAAAAAATATTTGCTTCCTCAGTTGGATGGCACTGTTTCAAAGTAGATATGAAAACCAGAGAAAGACTGTTGTTTTCTCCAAAATAAAGAAGATTATAAACATGAGGGGACACTGTTTGGGTCCCTGTCAAAAGAAGCAGCAAACTAAAGATAAGGCAGATCTATATTTCTTCCGTTTTCAGAGTGTAATTTGTCCACGGACAGAGAGAAACACGCGATCAGCTGACTCTTTCCGATGTGAGAGAGTGAGCTGTCAGGCGCGTGCCATCTGCTCCAGCTCCTCGTCCAGATGGGCTGCCGATGGTGATTTATGAAAGGGTTAGAAGCAACTTGCCATCCCCTGGAAAGAATCATTACAACACATTAACATTGGGGTTGGCTCCTTTCCCCCAACCCCAGTTTGTGACACATGCAAACATAGGGCAACTGCGTCCCCACAGCAGATAGAACAATCTGTTTGTGAGCCAGAAGTCAACATGCCTCCACTCTTAGAGGGGAAAAAAAAATCAATCATCTTTCTTCCCCCTTCCCTCTCCTCCACTGGCTCAATGAACAAGGGAGAAAATGCTCCCATGATGGAGTTTCTAACAAATGTCTGACAAAAGCCTTCAGTCCATTATCTCTGAGTGGCTGTGATGCTTGGAGAAGTCAAAGTCAACATCAAGAATAATCTGATGAACCTCACCCTCACGTACAGGCAGGTACCATCTAATCCATTCTGACAGAGAAAGCGCAAAGTTCAGTCAGTATTTCCAATGAAACTAGAGCCACAGACCCTGCGACCTGGCCGTCTGGTCCACTGCCCCCCACCCCGCCCCGCCCCAGTGAGGCAGCACCTGAACAGTGTGGCCTCAGAATCAGAGCAAAAGGACAGGGCGCGCCTTTCAGCGAGTTTCTGTCATTCATTCCTAGTTCTTACCCCATCATTTCTTTAATATGATTGTGGAGTAATAGGACTTGTTCCTGGGTGGATGGACATCTATTCATTTATTTTCAGCTCATGTAAGAATTGCGGGCAGAAAGTGAGGTCATATTTGTCCTTTGATCAAACCATCTGCTTTGCAGGCGCTGAGAAAATTCCCAATGAGCATGTTATACAAGTTTTAAAACGTTTGGACTGTTGAAAGGAAAAGTGTGCAATCAGTGTGTAAAGTTCCTAACTAACAGTGATGGAATCAGGGCGGGGTGTAACCTGCGGACAGGTTCTCACTGAGAAGGCAGAGAGAGGGCGTGGCCCTGGGGTCAGGAGTGTGACGGACAGAGCACAAGTGGCCAATCAGGGAGAGGGAAGAGATTCATGCCAGAACAGACTGAGACAATCCAGCTGAGGCTTAGAGAGAGGAAAACAGGGGCTGGCCAGCGTAGGCGAGATAACAGGGAGTTTCTCACACGGAGGAAGGGGTCTGAGCCTCAGTAAGAGGAGCACACACAGTGATCAGGCAGTAATGCACAGGGACACATGGCAATTCCGTGCGACCCTCTAAGGCTTTCTGATAGAGGAGGAAATGCCAGTCTACGTAACTATAAATGCTAAACCATCAAAGAAGAATCGGGGAAGTCTTCAGATGGCCTAAAACTTCTATAAGTGGGCAAAGAGCAAAGTCATCCTTGTTTGGAAACTGTTATGCAGTCAGTGACGGTCTGTGCATGTGTACTTCTTCCTTAAATCTGTCTTCTCTTCCCTGAAATATCGATCAAAGTGTATTTTATATCATCCGAAAACATTCATTAACCTAATACTTACAAGGCTACGTGCTCAGGGCTGCAGAGATATATGAAAGAAAAGAATGTTGCTCTTTCCCTTAGAGAAGTTATAATGCGATGGACTTACATGATAAGGCAGAAATCGCCACATAATGAGACCAAATCTCCGAGTATGTTCCTTCCAAAGACAGAAAGAGAGCGATCCTATTGGGTGGGTGGTATCAAGACGCCAAGTGTAAGCTGCTCACCAGCATTCTTTTTGCAGAAGAAATGCTCGCTGTTTCCCTGTTTCCTTCCTCTGGCTTCCTCTAGTGGCCACTTCGAAAACTAAGACAGGAAGCCAGCCAGTTTCAAAAGAGCGTGTCAGCCAGGCTAACCCTGTGTCCGTCACACTCAACTCCAGGAGGAGGAACATTTTAAAGGAAGAGTACCCTCAGCCCTCTATCATGAGTCACAGACCCGGGAAAGGTACCATGAGGTGGTCAAGGGTGTGGACTCTGAAATCGGATAAACGGTTTAAAATCCCAGCTCCGTCAGTTCACTGTGACCGGGGCGAGCTACTGAGCTTTTCTGTCCCTCAGTTTGCTCATCTGCAAAGGGGAGATGACAGTTACACCCAGATCATAGGGTGGTTATGAGAATTATAAAAGAGATGACTTAAAACATTAAACCTGGTGACTTGTCACAGTAAGTACTCGATCATTGTGTTTAGAAAGGGTTTACCCATTTATTTCACAAACTTGGTTCTCCGTACTGTGAACCAAGTGCTGACTCACTTTTTCTTTTTTGTTTATCTTTCTCATTTCAGATTTGAATTATACTATAGAAAACTTGGAACCTATAAGACATAGGACAATTGAGCTGTTAAATGCTTTTTTAGCATATAATGTCCCAAAGTCTAAATCCTAGTTAAAATATGATGAGCATTACCAGCACACTGCTTTTATGGAATTTGTGAACTTAGTGTATCAAAAGAATTATATTGAAAACTCACCTGATTTCTTGATTATACTCTTCACTGTCGTTGAGTTATTAAAATTCAAAAAGGATTGTTTTAAGTGCAGTGTCTGTGGAGCACTATGCATCAGGAATAAAATACTCCCCTCGCTCACGGAATCTTCTCTGGGACTCAGGAGGCACCCACAGTATGCACTTGAATCCCATGCTCATTGGACTAGACTCTCCAGCTGCCTGAGGGACGCCACCTCTCCAGCAGCCTCATTGTCATTCTGGTGACCTTGCTTTACCTCTCAGTCCTTCAGGATCTTGCCCTCATTTCATTACTCATTAAATTCACTTCTTACAGAGTCATAAATTAATTATTTCAGGTAAAACTACTGAAATCTGTACCTCATTCCAAGATCTTTTTTTTAACTCCGGGTAGTTAAATTGAAGAGTTATCATGTTAATCTTTATTGGTATTTGAAGGAAATGATTGACGGGAAATTAAAGACTTCAGCTTCTTAGGAGGGGCTCTGTCTTAGGAACAGGTTGAAAAGTTCGAGTGCTCATCCCATCGTGAAAGTTTTTGCACTGGCTTGCTTTGCTGGTAGGCTTAACTTGGAAATGATTAGGAAACTTGCTGATCTATCTTTAGACTGGAGCAAATGGGGTCCACCTCTCGGTTTATTGGCTATTTTAAAGCATGTTCATTTCATGAGCGCTCGTGTTCCTTTCCTGTTTCTCAGGAGGCCAGCACAGGTAAAGAATGGCAATGTGAGGTTCGGTTTCTTTTTTATGAACAAGTACGTTCGATTCCTAACTGTTGGTGACAACTTGGTTTTCTTCTAATGAATGCAGCCTTGAGCGTTCATGATCATCGAGAACAAGGTCCGTAGTGTTACATCAATATTGTACCCTCTTGGATGAGTAAATGTTTTGTTAATTGGCTGATCCACATTTCTATTCAAAGAGCTTCTTTAGATAAGTGAAGCTTTAAAAAACAAAAACAAAAACAAAAACAAACCAGGAAAACTGTTGTCAATCACACTGTGCTTTTTGTCATAAGGTCCTTAAAATATCTTAGAGAAATATTAAAAAGTAAACATTTAGAGTAGATTAGACCTGGTTGTACAACCCATAAGTCATCTGTTTCCTCAGGGACTGACTGACATAAACAAAGGAACATAATTTGGTTTTGCTCTTTGCTGTACTAGGACGATAGCTTCTTAACTTCGATTATTCTAAAGCCTGAAGCCTGGTAACTTTTATCAACTCATACCTCTCATAAAAGAGCAAATCTATTTTCAATGCTCCCTGTTCCTGGGGCTGCTGTATGGGGTGCTGTATGAACTAACAGCTGGCTTGTTCCCTTCAGCTCTCGGGTGACCGGCGTCCATGAGATGATGGGGTGCATTCAGAGACGAGTGGACCACCTGACCGGACAGTGTTCTGCGCACAAGGAATTTGCTCTTAAGAAACAACAATTAGCCGCCTCAGTGGAAAGCTACCTAAGGAAGGTAGTTTCATAAAAATGCATCCTCCTTAAGCTATGACTTAGATGAACTCCTTATTAGGTGACAATAGATGGTGTGGTAATCGCAGCCTGTGGGCCTAGGAGAATCGGGTGTGTCTCCTTAGTCGTCTCTCACAGTCCACGTTAGGTTGTACAGTAGAACAGAATAGACTTGCAATTCGCTGTTGCTCATCAACCATCCCTGCCTCAGGATGACAAAGCGATGTGTGCAATCCTACTTGCCTTCCAGCGCTGAACACACACACACACACACACACACACACACACATGAAGGCAGTGCTGTCTGTGCAGAGCCATGTTCACTGAACCATGTGAGCGTTTTGGTGGTGTCCTTGAGTTACACGATTTTCTGCATGGTTCCGACACGCACACGTTCTAGTTAACACGGTACTATACAGCATTACAACAAGAGGACATTCGAGAGGTACCAAAAATGATGAGTTGCAGGGGTTCCACGAGTAAACTGCCATTATGGTGTTTTATTGGATTAGGCCAGTGCTGTGGACATGGTCATTCTGAACACGAGCACACGCGTGGGAACCCTCTCTGCAGAGTGAGCAGAATGGCCTGGCACGGGGGAATTTTATTTTCTATTTTCAAAAGGAATAAAACCAGGCAGCTACTATTTCACTAAATAAAAAAGCACTTATCTATAGGTGGGATATATAGCAGAAACCAACATCTCAATGACATTGATGCTAATGAACCTTGTCTCAGATTTTTAATGACGTTTTCCTTCAGGACAATGAATTCATATGCCTGACTTAAACAAGTAGATCAGTAGCCTTTACAAGAGAGGTTATTAGATAACCATGTTTCTATTTAAATGGCCTCCCCACCTGTTATTGGTCCAGAAACTTGGACATTTGAGCCTTGTTCTGATGCCGGGGTCCAGGGAGATTCCGAATGTGGCGGCAGCTGTGTGACCACATTCCCTGGCCCTGGAGAGTCGAGCTGTGGTGGTGGTGGGAAACACAGGAACACCAACAGCTGTGGCTGTCATCTTACTGACAGCTCAGAACCATGTCACTCTGGGAAGCAGGACTCCAGTTAGATGATGGCAATATCTTGAATGGAATAGAACCTTTGAACTTCACTTTGTTCATTGATTCATGTGTACTGAGGATCAAATATTGTCTTTTACATCCATCAATGAAATCGCCCAAGTATGTTCCTGTGTTTTATTATCATATGTACAGGGTTTGGTGCTGCCCCAGTTACCCCAGTCCTAAAAATAGCAACCCATAAAGTGATCTGATACCCATGCTCTAGACCTCTACTTCAAAATGTGTCTGTGAATTGGGGCCCATTCAACGTACAGTGGGTGATTATGAGTTAATTTACCAGATAAATACATCTCTGCTGCTGTGTTGGCAAGTACATTATCCTCTGTAGATAATACGGATAATAAATTCTTAGAGGGCATGGATGATTGCTTTTATCTCATTGCTAATATTAAAAGAAATATTTTGAAACATGTACCCTCTATTGGTGGATCAGTAGTATTACTTCATAGGAAGAACAGCATTATTGATTCAAATGTCAAATTCTAAAACTATTTAAAATATTTTGAGATTAATGTTGATATATATTAAAGTACAATGGGAACGTAGAGAGTAGTATTTAGCTTCTCTATGCATACATATATGTGAATACATATTACTAAGGCTGTAATATATTCTTTCCTAAAGGTGGAAATGTCAATTCAGGAAATTAGTCCAGTACTTTGCAATGCAATGGATGTCGGTTCCAGCCTTCCTGAGTCAGAGGAGGTTTTGTGTAAATATTTGGAACTAGATATCCAAGCTAAGGTAAATGCAGTAAGAATCATGATCATGGTTATGATTTTGTAAAGATGATTTCTCTATATTCAGTAAGTTACAAAACTTACTCCTAGTTCTCCGGAGGGTTGCAATTCTAAACTAATATTGTGGCAAATAATGACTTAGAAAACTCCTACTCTTATGTGTGTCTGAAGTATTTTTATTTACATGTGCACTTGCTGGGGGGATTTGAGCTCACTGAAACTCAGCTTTCTAACCTGATATTAAACACTCATTTGTCCCCTTTTCCTGGACTGAGAAATGTTAGCTAATCCTTTTGGGGTGCCCGAGGAGGCAGGGAGAGTGCTTTGATAAGACTGTGATTTTCTGCTAGAGTAGGTTACAAAAGAAAATTACCACAAGCAACATTCGTTAATACAAGATTCCAAGATGCAAATCTTGTTTGCACACTAAGCCTTCAGAGACAGAAATTGCCCTCCTCTCCCTGGTACCTTGTCTATCCCCTTCACCCCCTCACATGGCGCTTAGGTTCAAATACCCCTGCTAGCAGCCCCGCAGCTGCACCGGGTCCCAGCCTGCCCACCCCCCACCCCCGCCCCTGTGTTTAGGAAAGTGAGTCACGTGTCCCCCTGGTGTCAAAGGCAGCAGGAAGTGGCCACGCCGCCCCATCAGTTCTCAGCAGAATAGTCCCCTTCACAGAGTCACCCCCACCCCCACTCACAGATACATCCATGTTTTAAATGAGGGATTTCGAATTTATTATTTAAAATGTTTAAAATAAAATGTGTCAGAATTCATGTTTTATTCCAGTTTTTTAGAATGAAGGAAGACATTGCGTGGGAGAAGCTCCCTGCTCCCTCCTTCCCCGAGTGCTGTCTGGCAGCAGCACCCATATATTAGAATTGCCGTCATTCAATGGAGGACGGGGTAACCATACTAAATACAAGTCGGGAAGCCATCCCTTCTTGCTGCAAATGAGAATGAAGCTTTTTTCTTTCATTTTTGCTTAATTCCTAGCTTGGTATCACATGAGATTTTATATGGCTTTCTATGGCAATTGTATATGTAATTCCTGTAATACCTACTCATTCATTTCATCAGTGGTGAGATTCACATGCCAGAAACTGCACTCAAAATAAAACATAACAGAGCAACCCCAGGCTGAGCCATTCACTGACTTTTTCGGCTATTTTGACCTCGTATGTAACGCTTCCCCTACATGTGCTTAAACATCCTTCTAGACAGCAATTCAAATAAGACTGCATAAGTGAAATGTCATTTTTATACATTAAAAAACAAGTAAACAATTTTTATAAACGTGACATCTTGTATATAACAAAATTAATTTAATAATATGTAACAGCTATTGTTAATTTCAAAAATAATTCTGTTCCAGTGTTTAATGATTTTGTTTAAATAATTTTAAATGTTTCTACCATTTTGTTTTACCACCTTGCAGACCAAACACCTTTACTTTGATTTTTAACACAGAATTTAGAGTGCTCTATATAAGAGGTGTAGCTGATAGAGTGAAGGACTAATTTGAGGTGGTTTTCATTTTAAGACACTTTTTAAAAAAAAGTTTGAAAGTTGTGCCTTCCTTTTATTGAGGAGACTCTTGGTACAAGTTCAATTAATAATCGTAATAGATGGATGTGCAGCAGGTAATGAAATGTGAATGTTCATGATCCCCTGTCAGCTCCTGACCCTCTGTGCTTTGCTTTCACAGGAAGCATCACATGAATTAGAAGCAGCTGCAAAACTTGTGACAGAGAAAAATGAATTTGAACCTGATGAAGTGGCATCGCTTTCTTCTAAAGCTAAATGGCTAGAGGAAGAATTAAATATACTTGGCCAAAGCATCAGCTCCAGGTCACAAGTCCTGCAAACCTATGTGTCATTTCTAAAGTCATCAGAGGAGGTACAGTACCTGTGGGCTGGCCTTTCTCGGTGGCTTCTGCTCGTCTTCCTGTGTTCGGTGGGGATGGCAGCCCTGGTGGGCTGGTCCCCACCCCCCACCCCAGTGCACGTACTCACTTATAGGCCCTTTCTTCACCGAGGCACCATACAAAACTAAAGCAGTAAGTCGTTTTACTAAAACATGTATGTGTAGCTATACACACAAATAAGCAAAGTATTTGTGTTGGAACACTTTTTACTTTGGCCCATAATTATTCACACTAGCTGTCCTGAACATGGAACAAAATTATTTAAAAATAAGTCATCTTCTCAATCATAGGTCTCTTTGACTAAGCAATGATTCATGTAAATTTCACGTGGTTCATTAAAAAATTTACAGAATCCGAAATTATGGGCTTTTGGGTCCATTCTTCGATCTGTCTTGTTTGATGCCTTTTAACAAGTTGCTTCAGAGAGCTTCTTCGAAGGCACTGTTTCGACAGGGTTGTACTACAAAATCTGTAAAATTCCCTCCAGTGGACTAGGATTCCATCTTGCAAAGGTCCTAGTTTCTAGAAGATGATGTTAGTATTAGAAAAGTGCTAGGTTCCTACCTGATTTAACTCTGGTCCCAGTGCATCCAGGCGCACGCGGATCCCCCTCCTGTCAAGGAGGCAGGCCCTGGGCTAGTGGGAGGTAGAGCCAGCAGGGTCACGCAGGGGTAAAGCCACCCAAAGTTGAGCAGCGCACCAGATCTCCATTTTCTCACTCCCACCCTCCCAACACCTCAGCCTACCTCCCACCCTCCTCATCCGGCCTCCCCGCATTTCCTCTGTCAGCTCCCGGTCTATGACATTCTGAAGCCTAGCCCCTCTGGAGGAAGGCCATGACCAGTCCCTTCCAGCAAGTCTCAGGTAACCGCCACCTCCTCTCTACATCTCTACTCCACCTTCTGTCATTTCTGTCACTTAGCCCCCAGTTTTCCTGGTTCCGCAGAAGTATTGAAACTGACAGGACTCTCCTGTCGATGAACATCTTTACTCAGAATTTGAAACGGTGGCAAAGGTACAAAGAAGTGTTTGCTTTCTGCATCCTTATTGCTTCTGGGTTAGTACCTACTTCCATGGTCCACACCAGCCCCTGGGGGTTTGCGTGTAGGGCGGAAACCTGGCCTTTGCAAACAGCTTTCTCAGCAGAACCCATTCCTTTCATCTTCCCAGCTTCCTCTTGCTCTGTCTCCTGTACGGCAGAGCTTCTGCCCTCATCCGGCAGTGGGTCACCGTCCCTCTCCTCCCCAGCAGGTTTTCCTTCTTCCCTCAGCAGCTCATGGTTTCTCCTTTGCTTTCTCTTCTCCATGCCCTCAGCTTCCTGCCTTCCACCCTGGCAAGCCCTGCCCATTCCCAGTACCAGACCAACCAACCCTCTGTTTACTCGGCCTTTCCCTCCAAGCTTCCAGGCGCTCTCTCCTGCAGAGTCACGCAACTGTGCTGACTGGCGCTGTTACAAATGTGTGGGTCTCTGCCTCAGCTGGGTCCCCCATATGCTCCCTATTGGCATCCAGTCAGTAGCAATTTTTAAACATCTTAACCCCAGTTTCCACACTTAATCTCAGCTGATGCCCTTACCTCACATGTGACAAAAAAGAAAAAGAGGTCACTGAGCCTAATTGCCTCGACTTCCACACCAATAGATACATCCACCCCTCCTTCGCTGTCGCCAATAAAATGAAGTCCCTACTTCTGTCCAGCACTAATAGACAATTATCCCTCCTGTATGTTCCCACATCCTTCAGAATCCAGCTCCACCAGTTTCCTCTAATGTTTGAAATTTGCTCCTTCCATGACTCCCTTTCCTTTGGTCTGCAGCTGTGCCAGCGGGTCTTGCCTTCATGAAGGCAACCACTCTGTAGTTTTCTTCCCTTCACATCTGGACTTTGGCCATGGGAGGATGACCTTTCTTATCTCTACTTGCTCATCTTCCCCAGGCTTCATCCCACAGCAGTTTAGTGTATTGCCTTTGTAATCCTGCCACCTGCCACCTCGTCACTCTACGGAAAATGTCCTTATAAGCTACTTGTTGATTGATAAATAAAATGATCTATTTTTAGTCTTCATCCTGCTTAATCTCTCAGCTAGTTATTCTTACCGCATTTGGCTTTAAAAACACACACACCCTAGATTTATTGAGGTATAATTTATCTAGCATACAATGAATCTGTTTTGGAGTACAGTGATCTTTATTATATTTATTGGGTGGTGCAACCGTCACTGTACTCTGATGTTAGTAAAGTTCCATCACCCCAAAAACAGCCTGGTGCACTTTTTCAGTCAGTCTGGGTTTTCACCCCCAGCCTCAGGCAAGCACTGGTCTGCTCTCTGTCTCTATAGATTTGCCTCATTTGGCTACTTCATATGAGTGGAATCGCTGTCTACTTCTCTGTCAGTTCCTTTTTCTTGTTTGTAGTTCAGTCCTCTGTTCCTGAAGTATGGTGGGTCCGAGAGTTCTTGCCTGTGCTCTCTCTTTTGCACATTTGACACACTTTCCCTATAAAAATTACACCTCCCTCTATGATTTCAGTTCACCAATGACCCCCAAACCATCCCTCAGCCCCAACACTTCTGAGCTCCAGACTAATGTTTCCAACTTCCTGTCACGCTAAGTACCTATGTATCCTGTGGGCTCCTGAAACGCCACAAAACACAACTGGTTTCCTCCCTCAGACACGTTTACCCTCCGTGCTTTGGCACTGGGTTAATGGCCCCACCATCTTTCAGAAGTTTCACGTCTCTCAGGGTGTACTTGAGATTTTTATTCCTGACTTTTTTGAATCCTTACAACACCTCTATGTTTAGTTACTAAAGTCCCCATTTTACAAATGAGGAGAACTGAGGCCCTGAGAAGTTGGGTATACAAGATTAAACAGCTATTAATCATTAAAGCTGAAATTTAATCCCCTATCTCCTCTCTTTTGTTTTCCCCTATTTCAAAAGCCATGCACTCGGCCAGTATGGCTCAGTGGTTGAGCGTTGACCCATGCACCAATTGGTCACCAGTTCGATTCCTGGTCAGGGCCCATGCCCAGGTTGTGGGCCCGATCCCCAGTAGGGAACATGCGGGAGGCGGCCAATTGATGTTCTCTCTCATCGATGTTTCTCTCTCTCCCTCTCCCTTTCTCTCTCTCTAAAATCAATAAAGGAAAAAAAATTAAAAAAAAAAAAAATGGCCATGCTCTCCTATGCCTGTCTATAGGGACAACCTAAAAGATTTCTAAAGTCCCTCCTCTCCATTTGCACCATTCCTTCCTCTGTTCAGGTCCTCATCCTCTCTTGTCAAGCTTAGAGAAGTTGCCTCTGCTTTTTCTCTCTGCCTCTTATAGTTCTCCCCTCGCTCTTCCCTTAAAGAAATGGTCATTCTAAAGCAAATTTAATCCTGTTACCTTCTAAAATTCAGGCAACTTGATAAATGTAATTTGTGAAGCAAGCTGTAAATAACTTACCAAAAATGGATAAAGTATTAAAGTTTATCATTAAATTGCTCAAAAAATAAACTAGTACAGATTCAAGGGGATTCCTATAATGACATCATTCTCACTTGCATTCAAGGAGGCTTTTGGGAACAGTTGGAAAAGGCAGATGAGTTAAAGCTTATCTTTTGAGTATTGCATGTACCTGACAGCTCATCAACTTCACACCCCAGCCTGTACTGCACAGTCCCATTGAAGTACTGACAGTTCTCATGCTGATTCTGAGTCACTGAGTTATCAGTTGTTTCAAACTAATAAGAATGTGTCACATCGTGTTGGTTACAGTAGACAATGAGTTGAAACCCGTGGGCCGGTTTTATCCCAGCACAATGATCCCTCTAGCCTCTTACCACTCAGCTTGTACAGCCTGAGCTTCACCCACAAAGATCATTTATCAAGCCCCGAACCAGCCAGTATTTTCACATTTGTGCCTCATACATATTATTCCTTCCACCTGGGATCCCTTTCTTCTACTTCCTTTCACTCTGGACAATTCTGGAAGACCCAGATCAAATGTCACCTCTATTTACTCAACATAGAATTGGTGGTCCCTCCACACTCTTCCCATAACATTGTGTGTATATTGTCCTTGTGTTGTAATAACTTCTTTTGGTTATCTTTCTTCTAAAACTATCTTTGGGAATCCAAGGAAATAAATGCTAATTCTTACTAGGAAATCTTAGAAGACTCCATGGAGGAGGTGGCATTTTAATTAGCTCATGAAGGATGAGTAGGAGCACAAAATTGAGAAAAGATCATTCTAGGCTGAGGAAACAAGCTTCAGCAAAACAGGGCCCTGAATAAACAGAATATGAGAAATGAGAAGGACACTTCTATTCCTGACTGCTGTTTGCCTGCTCTTTTATTAACTCCATTTAAATTAAGAATGTTGTTAAAATCTTTAAAATACAGTGACTAACCACGGCCTGAAGTTTCTCACCTTGTTTAGATTGATTTTAGTAGTTATGAGCTCTTTGAGTCTTGTCCTATTGGCCATTGAGTATAGTTTGAAATGCACAAAAACTTGTGTCAAATTTTTCTACTATTTCTACATCAGCCAATTGCTTGTTCACTGTTAGTTCTATAGGCACATTTGATTTTATATAAGCTCTTCCCAAAGAAAGTGATGGAAAATAATCTAGTACTACTTACGTTGATTAGCAAATGAAAAAAATATAATTTGAAGGAGGTCAAGTAATATACCTCAGTAAGATTAGTTCATGGGCCCTGGCTGGTTTGGCTCAGCGGTTAGAGCATTGGCCTATGGTCCAGAGAGATCCAGGTTTGGTTCCCGCTAAGGGCAAGTACCTCAGTTGCAGTTTGTCCTCGGCCCTGGGTGGGTTGTGTGGGTGCTGACCACTTGATGTGTCCCTTTCACGTTGACGTTTCTCTCTCTCTCTCTCTCTCCCCCTCCCACTCTATCTGAACAAAATATCGAAAAATGTCCTCGGGTGAGGATTAAAAAAAAAGATTAGTACATGGAAGCAGTTTAATGCTAATACTTGTACAGAAAATTAGTAATTATTTGTACTCTTTTTCGGGTTTATCACTGATTCAAAGCAAATTGTGACGTACTAATAATTTTTCAGACACATTTTTTTCTTATTTTCTTGATTACATACATATATATGTATGTATGCGTGTGATGGCCTTCTTCTAAATTATAAAACAGCTTTAAATCAAACCACACCAGTATTTGACATAAATTGTCCCCAATTGCAGAACATACATATACATAAAATATATAAAAGTGATTTGCATTACAGTAAGTAGGTCTTACAGGTAATAAACTGGTTAGTTCAATTTACTACCCAGTGGTGGTCCAGTCTGTAAACAACCTAGATAGATGTTCATATCTTTTTAATAAATTAACAATATTTAATAATTATTTAAGCAATTCTGGCCCTGGCCATTGTGGCTCAGTTGGTTGAAGCATTGTCTTGTACACCAAAAGGTTGTGCATTTGATGTTCAATTCCTGGTCATGGGACATACGTATGTTTCAGGTTCAGTCCCTGGTTGGGGTGCATAAGAGAGGCAATCGGTGGATGTGTTTCTCCCACACCAATGGCTCTCTCTCTCCTCCCTTCCCTCCCTCTCCCCTCTCTTGTAGGTAGAGGAGCAGTGTCGGAGCCTGGAGGAGTTTTACCAAACTGAAAGCCTGCGGAAGGAGGAGGACACGGCTGAAGCCAAGCGTCGTTCGGACTCGGCCGAGAAGCAATGGCAGCTCTTTTTAAAGAGGAGTTTTTCAGTTCAAGACCTAGGGCTCGAGTTCCTTAATTTAATAAACGTGGTGAGAATGACATTATGTCAGTTACACCTCCTGCCAGGATTGATTGTCAAAGTCAAAATCATAAATTCAAAAGTTCAGCTATCAGTTCATCAGCAGTATGGGTTTAGAAAGTTTTTAGCTTCATTCAACCCAGAGCAGTGCTGAAGCCCATATGTCTATGTGTATTTAGTCCTAGACTTGTTGTAAGTGTATAACATGAGGCCTATTTTAACTATCTGGAAGAAAGAGTGACTATAATCCAAATGCATGTTTTTATTATTACATAGAAGTTCACCCAAAAGTTCTAAGTTATGTTGAGAGCATGCAACAAGGTCCTTACAGAATTTCCAATGGCTCAAGTCAGTGTCTAGGATGAATCTTCATGTTGAAGAATGTCTTACTATAGCAGATCTTTCTATAGAGAAGCTCCATTATATTTAGAACTATACCCCAAACTTCAGTTGTCTACTTATATCTGTTAAATAGTCTAGAACTCTTATATCGACCTCTGATCCATACAAAGTTCTCTACAGAAGTCTTAAAAGATGGCTAGTCCACTCCTACTTCAGTACCTCAAGTATCTTCCTCATGAAACTATTCATCCCATTGTTAGAAAACACCAGTTGCTAGAAAATATTTTTTTAAATGTTAAGTCAAATCTGACTTCATATCAGGTCCTAACTCTGTAGCCACACGGAGCAGGGGAAGTAAATGTATTTGATTTCTCTTACACATGAAAGTCCTTCAGACATTGAAAATAGTTGTTGTATCTGATCTGCGTCTTTTCTGCAGCCAACCTGATGCAAATCCTTTCTATTTTCTGTGAGGCCGATTTCTTTCTCTCTCCATCCCTGTACTCCCAGAAATTTTATGGTTTGTCAAAATCATTTATAAAATGTAACCAAAAAGTAAAGTACAACTTTAACACAGAGTACAAGAAAGTGAACATCATTCTTTACTAATGAGACCCAAGATTATGCATGAATTTTTAGCAATGATTTCACTTTGCTGGTTCGTATTAAGATGTGATTGACTGAAACTCCCATGCATTTTTATTACAATTCCTGCCAAGCTAGGTCTCTCCCACTTTATATCTGTGTCAGCTATGTATCTTTTACATACACGTGTGGGTCATTATAATTATTCATATTTAATGTCATTTTGTTCATCTTCACCCATGATTCCATCTTGTCCAACTAAGTTTGGATCTGCTATCTAGTACCTTAACCATCTCTCCTGGGTTTAATTCTATATCTGCCTAACAGCCTGTCAATTGCTTTAAAATAATTTGGCAGAAATCAGCTTGGCTCATAGTGACCAAGGGATTCTTTCCAGAGTGCTCACAAACTGCTTGATCAACGATGAACTTACTGCACTGGTTTGCATTGTAAGGCCTTTCCAATCTGTAAACGATGCAGCCCACCCTTCCCCCACCCCCTCTGAAAGCCAAAGCAGGTTTTTTCTCTAATTTTCTGGCTCTTCTCCTATTTTCTGTAGACTTGCAAAGATAAGTGAGATCTACAATTTTCTCAGTACTCTGAGATATGATTAATCTCAGTCTGGAGCCTGAGCTCATTTGGAAGAATTAGGTTCTGTCTAACTACCCTCATCTACCTCCAGCAGCTTTCTCTCTCTCTTTCCTGTTTCTTAGCTCAAGACCTAGGGCTTGAGTTCCTTAATTTAATAAATATGTGAGAATGGTGTTATCTTCTTTGTTTCAACTTTTGTTATTTGAAGGCCATTCTTGTTCAATTTACGTGGAAACGAAATATACATGAAACAGTTCTAATATATCTTATACATCTTTAGCATCAGAGGAAACTTTCTCAGCAGTTTGCCCATGTGCTTATGTTATACAGGTGCTTGTTGTAAAAATAATTAAGTTATTTTTCATTTGGAACATCTATCTATCTCTCTATCCATCATCTATTTACCCTTTACATTTTTACTTTGTTCAGTAATATTCTTCCACCTCTTGACTGTAATTCTGTAATTTGCACATGATCATGAGAGAATTCAAGTATTTGCAAACTGCATTTTTTTTTTTGTGCCTATTTATTACTAGCTTCATTTCAGAAATTTTTTTTTTTTCAATTCTGAAGTTTCCATTTGGTTCTTTTAAAAAAAAATTAGATTTTAATTGCTGATGAAATTCTCTTTCTTGTCCTCTACCTTTGCTATACTTTTTAAACCATATTAATCGTGGGCATTTTAAAGTGTGTGTCAGCTAATTTCACATCTGGATGTGGTGTTGTTTCTATTGCCCACCTTTTCTCTTGCTTTCTGGTGATGTAGTCCTGTCTTGGCAGGACTCGCGAACATTGATCAAACATCAGGCATCATGTTGAAAAAATACATCCTTGACCCTAAGCTCCTTACCACTCTCATATAATAACTAGATTCTTCCTTATTGATAAGAATTATGCTCCACATAATAGTTAACTTCATTGGCTCAGCGACATTCTGAGATAGGACATTGCTGGTAAAGCACGTGAAACACATTTTTGTTCTCTTCATATCTTTTGGACCATTAGGCTTTTAAACAAACATTATTGTTGAAATGTGGTGACCAGCTGGGCTGCTCAGAGCGGAGCACACCCTGGCATTTTCCGCTGAGTGTTCTGCTCTCAATTGGGTTGTCGTGGCTCATATTTTCAAGCTGGAAATTAAAAATTTTTCAGTTCATCTAAAAATCATCAAGATTGGAGAAACCAACTTAAATGAGAAATCTGGCAGATATCTTGATGAAAGTGCCAATTTACAAATTTCTAGCAGTAAACACCAAGAATGCTATCTGGGATACTGCCTTCCTGTTATCAAGGTATCGGGAAAGCAAGATATCAGAAGACCATGCATTGTGTCTGAATTTTAGGTAATTCATTGTGTCTGAAAAATAGATAATTTAGTGCCCTCTTAGGCATTTTTTCATGCCCTTACACACTAGAATGAATAGTGTGTTTACTAACTAGATCTCTGGGAGATTATTTAATCTTCCTGAGAGGTCAAAATGCTTAAGTCTGCCAAATACATAATCACTCTTTTTGGATCCTTCCAGCTAGACATCAACAAACCGTGCTACAGCTCTCCCCTTTCCGGACCTCACTCAGACCATAACACCCTGCTGATTGTACTTATCATTGGCATGCTGCAAGTTCCAAGCTTACATTAAACTATATGTTACATTTTGATTAATAATGTCTTAATAACATGTGAAAGATACCCTACCTTTATTTATAGCATAGATAAAAATTGATTTGGCCTGTTGTCTAGTAGCTTTCATAATATTTAGCATCTTGTTCATCATAATTGCAGAATAAATAATTGTATTTCTAGATCCCTAAATTCATGGGCACAATCTCATTTAGAACCTACAATTATATTTTCACAACTAATTGGCTTTTTATAATGTCTAAATTAATATAAGAATATAAATATGCAATATTAATGTCATTTAAATTATTTTAAAAATAAGGTAGACTATTATTTAAAATATTCTGTTACATTTTATGACACAATCTAAGAGGTTTCTTGACTTTTAAGTACTTAGTTGTCATTGTCATTACAGAAATTCATGCACATTTTCTCTCTAGAAATTCAAAGATTTATTGAGAATGGCTGGCCATCCAAGTAAAAATCATTGTTTTGCCAAACAGTCTTCTACATTTTTGATGTTTGCACATAAAATCACACGTGGTCTCACTCTTTACGTTAAATTTCCCCTGTTTAAAACCGCTGTTTAAAGAATTTCAAATCAGTCAGCCAGACATACAGACGTTGAGAAAGGAAGCCTTTACATTTAGATATTGTGCTTCTGGTGCACAATAGAGATACAAAAATAGAGATATATAGATGCACATTTCTCACAAAAGGGCGTAACCTGAGGAACTGCTCACAAGGGATAGTTTAAAGAAAAAAAATGGTCCAGAACAATTTGCCCCCTCATATTCCCTGATAGTGAGATTTTAACATCTGCTAGTGTGTTAACATTAAAGGTAGAATACACTTTAAAACATATGCATTAAAATAATCTTGGCTTTAATATTTCTGTATCCAAGAGCTCATTCAATCACCTCTCAAGCCTCTGGAAATAATCAGACTCTGGCAGGTGACTCCAACACCGCTGGGCTCTTGGAGAGCTCAGGACCTGATGTCCAAGCACAGGACACGGGTTCTGAGGGCCCAGCTGGGCCTCTGCACAGCCATCCCTGACTTGTCTTGATAGCAGAACCATCCATGCTGTTTCGGTGTGATCATATTTGCTGCCTAGGGTAGTTATATGCAAAAATGCTGTGTTTCTTGAGAAAGAAGAGCCATCATATAGATTATTCATTCAACAGGCCAAAGAGAGTGAAATAGTAGACGTGAAGAATAAAGTGCACATTACGAAGAACACTATGGAAAGCCAGAAGGCAGAGAGGGAGGAACTCGGCCGCCTGCGGATGGCGTGGCGACGGAAAGCCACTGCCGGCAAGCCCGTGAAACAGCAGTGGGGAGCGTTCAAAGAGCAACTCAGAAAGGTGAGGGGTACACGGTGGGCGATACTCCGCCTTACAAAGAAACAAAACTCTGGCGCGTGGTACAACATGGAGGAACCTTGGAGGCATTAGGTCAAGTGAAATAAGATACAAAAGGATGAATATTATATGGTTCCACTTATATGAAGTACCTGGAGTAGTCACATTCACGGAATAGTGGTCCCTCGGGGCTGGGATGGGGGCAGGTGTTTCATGGGTACAGAAATGCAGTTAGGGATGATGAGAACGTTCTGGCCATGGATGGTGGTGATGGTTGCACACCAGTCTGAATGTTAATGCCACTGAACTGCACACTTAAACATGATTAGAGTGCTCAAATATTATGCAAATGTTATGCCAAGAAAACCAGAAGAGGTCAAGGAAACCAAGGGCCTATGCTTTTCTTCATCGATGTGTTTTAGCACCAGGAGCTCAGGTGGTGAGTGTTTTCACAGGGATCAAAAAAGGTGAACAACACACTGTGTCATCACCGGAATGATCATAGGTATTTGCTGGTGGTGGCAAAGAAAACATATGTATAACTATCCAATGTTTATTACAGACTACTCACAACTTAAAACTCCTTCAGGAAGCACTTCTGCCTGTGTCTGCCCTTGACCTTGGAGGGAGCCTCCAGAGCATTTTAGGACTAAGGAACAAATGGAACGCAATGAGGCCTCAGTTCCAGGTAACGAAACAAACAGCTAGGCTTGGGTGAATGGAAAAAAAAAATTGTAACCGTTTGATTGCAATTTACCTTATTAATTTTAACAGACTGACAAATTGCTATTTTTTAAACAAAAACATTGCTTGTCTAAAGATCCTCTTAAAAAACACATTTTTCTTACTGTGTTTTTGCACTATTTTGTATTTGATGATACACAAACATTTGGGCTACAAAATGTCCTAAAGGTGGTCTCATCTTAGATTATTTTAACTTACATTAAATTATTAATGTATCCATCATAAATATAAGCACTGCAGTCGTTTTCTGAGGGGTATAGACATGTTTGAGATCAAGTCAGCTCAGAAGAAGGATGAGCAACCTCTGGCACACAGGCGGTGCTGCCCTCTGCCCCTGACATGTCCACGCTGAAGTCACAGTCTCCACCCACTGGCACTCTGGGCTCCTCCCACCCCCCCCCCCCCCCCGGAATGTTGCTGTGCTCACCTACCTTCCCTCTCAGAGAGCCCTCGGAAGTGAGAGATAAAACCATGAGTCATGTTCCCAGGCTTACTGCTAATGCATTCTGAGCCCCCACCTCTCGCCACTCCTAAATGCTGCACAGCTACTAAAAATGGTCACTGGTCATGTCATCCTCCTGCCTGGATTCTTGTTCTTTGCTGCGAGTTAAGATACCTGTGTTTCTGTTTGTCACTACTTTGTAAGTGTTGGCTTTAAAGAATCCCAGAATTAGATGACTGAGGATTCTTTTATGGAATATCTTATTTACATTCATTTCAGACAAACTGATATAGTATATAATCACCTCCCTGACACACACACACACACACACACACACACACACAATACAGCATTGTAGCCCACAGTGAACTGTTAGAAAATCCAGTTGGCCTCCATGTTAAGTTTATTGATGTACCGTGTTGTATGCTTATTTGCATTTCGTGTGTACTCATGTGGTCATGCCCTACACATGCAGGGGTGTGTGTGTGTGTGTGTGTGTGTGTGTGTGTGTGTGTAAATTCCTCTAAATTAGGGACTGTGGAGCTTCTTCAGCTCTGTCTCTGTGATGTGCATATTATTTGATGCCCACATGCTTGATTTAAACTTGAAGACCCTTATTAGGTCACTCTTCTGCAAATTATCTCCTTAGCCTAAATCTTTTCCATTACTTTTATCTTTGCTGTAAGATCTAGTCCTGAAATTATAGTAGCTTCCTCTTTGAACTGTTCACACTTTACAAGTTCTACCCAAGGATCTGGACTCCTCTGAGGGATATCTGAGTCGTGCTGGGTGAGAGGGAGGGCAGTTTATCTCTCCCTCGTGCAGGGGCTATTTGTGGACTGGGGGTGGCCACTTGTAATGCCGCATATCTACTGTGCGACTCAGCTGCGGCTCATTCTGATCATTCTTTTATCACAGAGGACAAGTAATTCCCCCAATATATTTTTATCCTTGTCTTCTTTTGGTGTTCTTACTATACCACCTGATTCTAAATATCAGAGATGCTCATGGCTTCATAAAACATCTGAAATGCATTTACTTAGCACATGACTGGAATATTTGGTGAGCTATAGAAATACACAGCTTTCCACTTCACCATCTAACTTTGAAATACTTTGTTTTTCATTGCTCATACTTTATAAAAATCTTTCTGAGCAGATAGGGATGGAATACGTTATGCTTAGCATCAAACTTAATACCTGGATTTGCAGGGATGGGGGGAGGCTCACAATAAGTTTCTGTTAACAAATGAGAGAATGATTGGTTATTTAGGTCTTAATATGTCCTTTATAAAGTAAAAAGCTCTCTAAAAGCTGGATTTCTTTGATTGCTGTCAACATTTTAGCAACTGAATGATGAGGTCCAATACATTATAAAAGAATCCGAAGAGTTAAGTGGCAAAGGAGCCCCCGTGAAAGAGAAGTATCAACAGCTGAAGGACCTCATTCATCTCCATCAAAAACAGACCGAGAGAATCCAAGACTACGAGGACATCCTGTACAAGACAGTCCAGTTCCACCAAGTCAAGGAAGAGGTAAGATCTGTCACAGATATTTGGAAGACCCTCAGTTATAAACTACGAAATGAAATATAAATTATTATATAATCAATAAAAGCCAATTTGCTTATTCTGATATTAGAAGACTTCTACACCTGGCCTCTAACTTTTCTCTTACTAAACCTCTATCCCCCCTCATATTCCAGCCGAGCAGCTCTCTGTCCCTCAAAGATGGCACACACATTTCCAACGCCTTGGCCCGTAGGCTGCCACTATCTGACGAGTCCTTTTCTCTCTTCTCGACTATCTAACCCTATCCCTCCTCCCAATGATACCACCTCTCTTGGAATGACTTTTCTCTCTTCCAGATTTCTAGAACTCTCATTGGTTATTCCACACATCTGTCATTTTAGCAACTTGATTTTTAATTACTTTTTACCCCCAACTGAAGTGTAAGCTCTTAGAGGGAAGAAAACACATTCCTTTTTTTTTTTTTATCTCAAGTACCTGACATCATAGGGTACTCATTAAAAATTCATAGTTATTAGCCTTTTTTAACAGAAAATAGAGATGTATTGATATCCCTTAAAATAGCCTCTGAATGTACTCAGATCATAGACCTACATCTTCCTAAGGTTTTAGGCTATGACCAAAAAGTATTTTCTTCTTCAATAGAAATGGCAACATTCGCCCCTTAATCTCATGCTATTGATTCGCAGCATTGTAACTCTTATTTGTTCATAACACTAACAATTACAGATGGGCTTGGCAGCATTTGACCAGCTAGTAAAATAGTTTATAGGAAGTACGCTTTAAAAAGCTGTCTTCGCAGAAATGGAACTCATGTTCATTGTTATTGCCCTATATTCCAGCTGGAACAACTCATCAGATCGAGAGAACTGGAGTTTCTAGAACAGCCAAAGGAATTGGATAATGCTCACGATGCCCAGGTTCGCCTCAGTCGCTCTCAGGAGAAGCAGGCACATATAGACCATCTCCACAAACTGGCCCTTTGCCTGGGAGTGGACATCATCTCATCAGTGCAGCGGCCTGTAAGCATCTCAGAACACCATCACTCATACCCAATTACAGCTGGGAGCTGGGCTCTCACGGGGGAGACACCAGGCAGATCGCCTAGTGTATGTTAAATTTCAAAATGCATTAAAGCAATGGGGTAGTTATCTGTGGTGAGCTTCTGCCACCCATAACAAAAGAAAAACACTTAAAAGAGAAAAATATCTGACTATAAAGATTTTGTTTAATACATCTATTCTCATGCTAATTTAAAAAATTGTTGAGGTGTGTTTTCTAATACAGCAGTTGGGTTTTTGCATTTGAAATGTGCCTAATGCAACTAAGGGACTAAAATGTCATTTAAAAGTTGACACTCAGTGTAGTTATTGGAAAACTTTTAAGTATGTTTGGAACAACTTGGATATGGGAATCTACATTTTGAACTATAAACTCTGTGAAGTTTAAATACGGATCAAGTTTTTCTGACAGGAATTTAGCAAAAATGGAGATGTGCTGGGAGTGTGAAATGCATACCAGATTTCCAGCACTTAGTAAAAAAACAAAAACCTTATTAATATTTTTATATTTGGTTATGTGGTAAAATGTTGATCTTTGGACATATTTGATTAAACTCTATTATGAAAATCAATTTCATCTGTTTCTTTTTAATATGGCTACTAGAAAATTTTAAAGTATTTATGTGGCTCATGTTATAGTTCTTGGACTCTGCTGCGTTAGCATTTCAGATCTGGAAGGTGCCTGAGATCGTCCAGCCTGGGACCCCACTTTATAGATAAAGAGTCTGAGTCCCGAAGAAGCTGGTTTATCCATCAACGCCCAGAATGAAGGAGCCTCCTGGTGGAGACCAAGGGCTCTGGGCACTAGACATCGGGTCTGCTTTGGTCCACTGGCTGGACCTTACCGAGGAGTCTCAAGACAAGGAAATCATTACAGACCAAATTTTCCTAAATAGCACATTGGGCTGTGATTTAAAATACATGTATATTTTAATTTAACTATATATCCTTCTCCAAATTCCTAATTTGAGGGGGAGAAGATTGTGTTTATTCTATAGAATATATACAATACTAATACAATAATAATGGCCAATTTCATTTTAAAGTTTATTTAAGATATCCACTAAACTCGATGGAATGCACTGAACCTAAAGTAGTTTTTTTTTTTATCCTCACCTGAGGACATTTTTCCATTTTTGCACAGATAGAGTGGGAGGGAGAGAGAGAAAGAGAGAGAGAGAGAGAAACATCGACGTGAAAGGGGCACATCGAGTGGCTGCCACCCACATGACCAACCAGGGCCGGGGACAAACTGCAACCGAGGTACATGCCCTTAGCGGGAACCGAACCCTGGTCTCTCCGGACCGCAGGCCGATGCTCTAACCGCTGAGCCAAACCGGCCAGGGCCTAAAGTAGTTTTTTAATGGAAAGATCTAGGAATACAAAATATCTGTCACTGTTAATAGAATCTACTTTTATCAAGAAGGGGCCCTTTTTTTGTTTTTAAAGAATTTTATTTCATTAGCAAGTATATTTTTAAAAGGGAAAAGAAGTAGGGCATCTCCCTTTGCACAAACCGTGTGCATTGTCCTGCGGTCAGCGGGTCGCGGCCTCCGCCTGTGCGGTGGGATTGGAGCCCCGCAGGATGGCCCCGAGGGGGAGGCGGGCTGACAGGGGAACTAGTGCAGAAGCCGGTGTTTCTAACGTGCTTTATGCCCTTTGAAGTAAAAACTGTACGTTATGGCGAGTGGTGTCTCTGAAGAGCTGGGTGTGATGAGCGAGCTTCAAAAGCGCAGTTTCAAGACTAGAAGTCGAGTGGTTGCCTTTCCCATTCTGTTGGGTGTCTGGCTTCTTCCTGAAGTCCTCTTATTCCAACAGCTTAAGGTGAAGTGAATCAGGGCCTCCTTTTTAAATTGTCAGTCGTGAGCACCGTCATGCAGGCGGAGCCTCCTTGCCTCTTTCCTGTGCCCTTGTTCCCGCGGCTTCTCTTTCACTTGCAGAACTGCTCCAACGTGTCTGCCAAGAGCCTGCAGCGGCAGCTGGACGTCCTGGAGGGGGACAGTGTGACCTGGCGTGCCAAGGCCGAGGAGCACGCGCGGACCCTGGCCCGCAGCCTGCAGTACCACACCACGAGGGACGAGATAAATGAGGTGGGTGGCGGGGCAGAACCCACACACTCCGGACAGCCTCTCAACCTAACGCGTGCGTCTCAATGTCTGTGTACGCACACATACATACACACACACTGCACATACACTCACGCATGCACACACATGCATGCGCACACACATGCACACACAGGCTTTTAATCCATGCAGTAAATGTCTCAGAATTCAAAGCATGAGTAAACCTCAGGCTCCCAAACTCGTTGAAGTCAGTACATTGTCAGTGCACAGAGAAACCTAGGGTTTACTATTCCAGCATATTGTGTGCTTTTTTCTCCCCCGCTCAAACCCGTATCACGCTCATTTGGTTGAGCGAACGCAGCCTGTGCGGGCAGAGTGACACTTCTTTGCGGCCAGCTCCAGCCTGCTGAGATGCTATTTAGGTGCCGCTGACTCATGGCGAAGCAATGCCAGGGGAGCAGGCTCTTTCCCTCAGAGGCTACAAGGTATTGTCACCAAAGTCAAGCATCTGATTTTATGTTCATTCAGAGTGGCTTTTCTGGCAAAACAACTCCTAGAGAAAAAGAAATAACAGGTGACAAATTTCCTCTGCATCAATGCACCCCTGTCATGTCATTCTATCTCCTCTTCCTCAGTTCTACTCGACCCCAACCCCCAGATACACACGGAACCGCAGCCACCACCCTCCCCAAGTCCAACATTCAGTCAAAGCCTTCCTTGTTCAGGACAGCAAGGGTCCTGACTCTCCACTGAAAAGGGGGGAGAGGGAGGAAGTAGAAACCTACTTGAACATTCTGTTTATGACCAGTTTACACAGTCTGGGCCCAACACATATCAAACAACATTACAGCATGGACTAAAGTATTTGTACCTAAACTTGAGTAGTGGTCTAGCCCTGAAGAGCCCTTTCCTGCAGGCCACGCTGTCCTAGACCACAGGCAAGGGCGGGAGGCGGGCACAGCTAGAAGGAAAGTAAGGGGAGGAGAGAACAGGAGGGGCCACTTGGATCTCACTCAACAGGAGGGAAACAACAACGAGCATCAACAGTGATGTTCATTTTAGCAATGTGCTGTGGGGCGGTAGAGTTTCTGCTCAGAGGCTGTTCCAGGCAGTCATTTTGGGATAGGGATTCATTTGGGGTCAAGCCCACAGTGCATCCTGAGCTCTAGGTAGCAGAGTGGCCCCTTCTGGTCCCTGTGCTGCAGCTAACACTCAGTCAGGTCCTGGAAGGAAAGCAGTCTCAAGGAGAGCATCATTCTCCCCAAAGCTATGAAATTTAGATTTGCAACCATGAAAACAATTTGTTTACTATCTTTCCCCCAAGTTATCTTTTTCCTTCTTCTCCCCATCTTCTTTTCCTCCCCCTCTTGTTCTTCTTCCTCATGGTAAACTTCTGGTCTTGCTGAAAATTGCTCTCCCTGCCTTGGTGTTCAGCTCTTTATTGACTGAAACCGCAAGTGGAGCTGGCTAAGGTTTACTCCGAGTCCCCTAGGGCACAACTTCCATCTCTCTGAAGCGCTGTGGCATTTATGGGGCTGGATCTCCCGGTTCAGGCCTCTCCTACAGTGGGTTCTGTTTACACAGGCTGCCTTGTGATGAGCGTGTGCTGGGAGCCAGCTGGCGGGGACAGCAGATCACTCTTCCAGTCATAGTAGGGATGCCCCAGGATTGTCTGTACCGTAACAGGAATGAGCAACCAGATATGTGCAGGCTGATTTAGAGATCAGATGTCAGTCTAACAGGATCTTCAATATTAAGAGAACTATTCTTCCCATTTGCTCCTACTTCAAATCCAACTAATCTTTGATGTAGGTTATAGTTTCACATTTAAAGGATCTCTGAAATCTTTGGTCCTTTCCCCCATTTCCCTTCTTGTAGGGATAGTGTAGTATCTACACCTTAGACTTTCCGACCATGAGCCTAAAAGGGAAAGAAATTAGAAGGAATATTTTCAGTGCCCTTTAGTAAAATATAGATATGTGTTTTCCAGTTTGTATTATGAATACCAGAGTGCAAGCAGATAGCCAGATTCCATGTGGTAATGATATCTGACACCTAGACAGTTTTATTATTATCATTAATTTTGGTGTAGGTACTTAAAACATTATGTAAAGTTAAAAGAAATATATTTCACTACTCTTTTTCTATATAAAAAAATTAAGTCAGAAACCTCACCAGGGAACTAGACCATGCATAGCATTTGATTTTTTAAGTTGATTGGAAAGTACATTGTTTTTCTTCTAATGTTTCATTATTTTCTTTCAATTTATCTTCAGATAGAGTGGGAGGGAGAGAATGGGAGAGAGAGAGAAACATCAACTGGTTGCCTCCTGCACAATTCTGACCAGGGCCAGGGACAAACCACAACCGAGGTATGTGCCCTTGACTGGAATAGAACCCGTGACTCATTGGTCCGCCGGCTGATGCTCTACCTCTGAGCCAAACCTGCCAGGGTTCATTGTTTTCTTAAAGGGCTTCTTGCAAGTTCACAGATTCCAAGTTGAAATGAATTTTGGAGGATGTCTAGTTTAACTGTTTCATTTTTCAGATGAGAAAACCAAGATGTATACAATTTTCATTTGACATTGTGCCACAGGACCGCAGAGTTTCAGCTCATAGAGTTCCAGGGAGTCAGCTTTGGGCCAGAGGCTCACTCATTGGCCACTGACACACTTGCCGTTTGCTAAACTCAGAGTTCCCACTCACTTAATGTTTTGGTCCATTCAGTCCTGCACAATCTGATGTCAAGTGTACCTTTCTATACTTTCCTGTTTTATCTTTACTCTGCGGCATATGTGTCATAAGATGTTTGTATGATGTGATATTATAACACAGTTAATTTGGTTATTTCAACCAGAATTACTTTCCTGATGTTGCCATAACTTACATGGTTTTAACCACACGAAAAGCCCTTAGAAAAGGATGTGGTACCTCAAGGCAAAATAAAGTGAGGTGTTCTAAATGTGACTTTAAAATGTGATAATAACTCCTGAAAGACAAAAAAAAAAAAAAAAAAGAAATGCTTTCGTGCCTTAATTATCTTTGGGTAAAAAATACTACTATTTTCTAATTTCATATACTCAATGACATGAGAAATTGTGAAACTTCATTTTCTCCATGTCCCACTAGAAAACACAGCCTTCAGACTGACATATTTTGTGATTTTTTTTCTCACCCATTTCTCACAAAGATATGTTTGTATGCATAAATGTTGAATTTCATTATGTATTATCTTGCCTGAGAATATAAATAAGTTATTAATACACAAATCATTACAGACATTCTCTGCTGTATTTCATGACAAAATATCATTACTCATTCTTTACACGTCTTCGTTTAGAAATGTAATAAGTTAATATTGAGCATGTTTTCTTTTTTCAATCTAACCAAAAAATTACCTTTATATTTACATGATGTTAATGGAAATTTGTAGCTAGAGTCTCATTATGGGCCACAAACAATTACTTTGCTGAAAAGAATAGTAATGACAGAATTGGGTTGGTATCCATTTTCTCAAAATAAATTTTACAGTGAAAAGCTTTCATATAATTATATTACTTTAGCCTGAATGTTTTATCTTTTGCACTGTAGCAACATCTAACCCGTCAGGAAGGAAACAGAAAATGACTTCTCTCTCTCTCCCTCTATCTCTCTGTATGTCATATATCTATATTTATATCTATATCTATATATCTATTTATCTTTCTACCATATGTCAGAATCTATGTTCTAATCACCCAAATTATTTTGTCAATTTGGATCAGAAATTTTTCTGAGTTCCATGGATACAAGTCAGATTAGAAACGATAAATTAGAATAGGGGGATGGTGCAGTATAGACACATATACAACTTTTAAATTAAAGCTCCTGACGTTATTTGGTGATTTTCCAGTGACAAAATGACCATAGACAGATACCCACTAGCAGGAAAACAAGCAGAAAGTGAGTGTATAGGTGGGCAAAACATCTGATGGGAGCAGCTCAGATAACTTTTTTTTTTTTTCAGATTGATAACCCTAATTTATCATTTTAAGGAAAAAATTAAATTATTGTCATTTAGCAAATATCAGTGTGGCTACTGTGTGCAGGTGGGTGTACGGACGCAGAGGTCCTCAGGAAATAGAGTCCGGGGCTAATTAAGGCCATAGGACGACACGGCACTGGTTATCAGGCCTCACCGGGGGTCCACTCGATGGTGTGTGGAAGAGAAGGGGAACGATTGTAATTTGTTCTGAAAATGTCCATCTCCCAGGGTTAAAATCTGTTAAAAGATTGGTGTTTTGCATCTGCAAAATGATTCTTCTTTCTAAAGAAAATGGAGAGCTAAATTGTAAAATCATAGTCATCATGTTCAGAAAATAAAACTTAAATAGATGATGAACACAAAACGTGCAGGGTGGATAAAATAGGCACCACTGAGACTTGCTGCCATCCAGCATTTAAAACGGAGGAACTGTCTTCTCTTTCTAAGCTGCCCTACTTTCTGGGGCTACAGGCCTGGCCTTCAGCACAGCAAGACAGCAGTGCCGCCACCTTATGGAAAGAGGGCAAGAGAGTCTTGTCCCAAAATCTCTCCAGCGAGTCTGCCATTAATAATTGTATAAAAGTCATTCCAGTCAAACTGTGAGTCTTTGGGTCCCTTCCTTTCCAATGCAGACATCCCTGGAGACGATGCCACTGCAGCTTTCTCTCACTAAAATGAGCGAAAATCAGATAGCCTTTTCCTTCCCGGAATGAGCACACTGGTGGATAAGAAATGAAGCTTGTGAAATGGACAATAAGAGAAATGGACTACTTGTTTTGTGTGTTTGCTTCTGGCCCAGCATGTGCCATAGTCCTACTGAAAGGCTGTTGTGTGAAATGTATTTCCTTAGTTTTCAAATGTCCCACGTAATCCAGCTGGTGTGGCTCAGCGGTTGAGCGTCTACCCATGCACCAAGAGGTCGCTTGTTTGATTCCTGGTCAGGGCACATGCCCAGGATGTGGGCCGGATCCCCAGTGGGGGGCATGCAGGAGGCAGCCAATCAATGTTCTCTCTCAACAATGTTTTTTTCTCTCTCTCACTTCCTCTCGCTCTAAAATCAATAAAGGAAAAAAAAATAATAAATAAAATAAAATGCCCCATGTCCCCCACATAAACCGGTCTGGCCAGCAGCAGACTCACTAGTCGTACGATCCTGTGCCAAAGCTGCCTCCACCCGCACTAAGAACAGCGTGCAGCCTCGTGGTGTCGGCCTCTGTCCCTGCTGCTTCCTCTCAGAGAAGCTTTGTTCGCTCCGACCCCCGAGAGAGGCCCCCTGCTCCCTGAGCATTTGGTGAAGATGTCTATTCTGCTAGGGTAAAAAGAACTACAGTTTTAAAGTCATACTATTTCCCCCCTAATTATAGGAATATTAACCTAGTCTGCTTCTTCTATAGCCAATATGGAGGGCTGACAAGTGGGGAGATGGGGGGACCACACTATTCACGGGGGCGGGGGGGAATCTCCCTCCTGAGAGTCTTCAGACTGTCCTGCGTTTTATGAATATGAGTGAATGAATGATAACAACATTTAAATATTCCTGATTGGGTGAACTCTATCTTGCCCCAGGGTTGGGTGTTGCTCCCGGCTCTGTGCCCTGGCTGAGCAGTTGTCTTAGCTGTGGCCGCCGTTCCCCACGGTTGACAAACTAGCTAAAGTTAGAAGCAGCTGCACGGGCAGTGATACCACAGTCAAGGGACCACGGCACTTGGTTCCTTTAAAAGTATGATCACGGGTTATGTGGGGATTAGGTGGGAAGTTAAGTTTTCATATTAAAATGTGCAGGTAAGAAAATTAAGCACAACTAGATTTTTTTTTTTTTTTCTGAAGGTAGTTCATGCATGCTGCCTTCCACTTGTATCTGCAGTGGTCCTGAATTTGAGCTGGGACAGGCACAAGGTTTAAGATGGATTTCTAGTGCGACCCAAAGAGAAAAGTGCCAGCAACTTTGTCAGAGGAGCTCATGTGTCAGAAAAAAGCTGATCCCATGCACATACCCAGAGTGCCACGAACATTCTCTGGACGTATACGTCATTTTCAGTGGTGCTACATACATTCTGAAGCAAGCAGAAATAAAATTGCACTCATCATTTATCAGTCTTAAATTTCTTCATCTAGAGTAGACTTAAAATTTCCTGGTTTAGAATGAATGGGTTAAGGTTCAGCCTTTCTCCATTCATCACGTGGTTTTGGAGTAGATGTTGGTCTTTGCATTTAAACAGGTAGATGTAACCCGTTGATGATCAGGGTGGTGACGGGGCTGCTTTTCCTTTTCCTGTACTTAGTTCATAATCAGGATGGGGCAAAAGTAGGTTACCAGTTCATATGGAAAAGAATACAATAATTAATAAATAACAATACAAGAATAAACTGTTTTGCATACTTACAACTGGAAACCTACCTCTTTTGCCCCACCCTGTGTGTGTCGTGTGTCAGTAAGGGAAAAAAAGAATATAAAAAGAAGATGGTTTGTTTTTTAGTGGAAAATATTAGTAATAGAAAATGTTATTTTCACCCTTAGCTTTATTTTTAATTTAAATTTATTTTTATTAAAAACAAAAATTTTAGTTTTAATTGTGATAAAATATACATGCAGTTTATGATCTTAACCATTTTAAGGGTACAGATCAATAATATTAAGTTTATTTACATGGTTGTACAAACATCACCATGTTCATCTCTAGAACGTTTTCATCATCTTAAACTCTGTACACATTAAACACTAACTCCCCATGGAGAACATGTTTTCTTGAAGATACAAGGGTCTGCCCTGGTCAGTGCGGCTCAGTGGTTGGAGTATCGACCCTCGGACCAGAGGATCATGGGTTTGATTCCCGATCAAGGGCATGTACCTGGGTTGCAGGTTAAATCCCTGGCCCTGGTTTGGTTGAGCTTGTGCTGAAGGCAATTGATCAATGTGTCTCTCTCACATGGATTTTCTCCCCTCTGCCCTCTACTCTTTTTAAAATCAATGAAAAAAATATCCTCAGGGAAAGATTAACAACAACAAAAGAAAGATTCAAGGGTCTCTGATTTCTTCAGGTGTGGTAATTATACTAATAGTTGCAGATTTTGACTTCACAGAGAAAAGTTCCTTCCAAAGTTTTATGTGAATAATTCAAGATATTGTTTCTATATCTCAGCCCCATAAAATTGACCTCATTTGTTCTTTCCCACTAAAGTTAAACACATGCATTTTAAAACATCAAATGTCAAAGAATTTAAAAATTAATTGGTTATTTTATAAATATAATAATTGAATATGATCTTTTAAATATTTTTCTGAGATCTAATAAAGAAATAGTTTTCAAATTTTGAAGCTATAGTTCTTTTGCTCCTTTAGAATATTATTGATATTAGATTAAATGTTTAATGTGGTCTCTGTGTGCTTGGTTTAGATTTTAGCTTGAATATTCAACACTTTAGTTTACCAAATAAAGAACACTGATGAGGTACAGGTGTGTCTGATGCAAAATTTGCATTAGTATAATAATTTTCATGTATGTAGGTCTGTTAGGGCTTTATAGTAATTATCTCCAGGAAGTGTTAAAGGTAAGGTCAAGGTTTTGTTTTTATACATGCACAATTTGAAATAAGCATTTGAGAAAGCAAGCATTTTCTAAAGCAGGTATGGTTTTCTGTGTTAGAAGTTCACAGTCTAGTAAGTACACAGCCTTTATTCCCTCCCGAATAATTGTTTTGCTATCATTGAAGAGAATTTTAATGTTTTTCTGACTTTCCTTATCATAGCTCAAATTTATCAGCCATGACATTCATTCTTTTTTTTTTTATCCTCACCCGAGGACATTTTTTTGTTTTTTGTTCAGATAGAGTGGGAGGGAGAGAAAGGAAGAGAGAGAGAGAGAGAGAAAGAGAGAGAGAAAGAGAGAAAGAGAGAGACATCGATGTGAAAGGGACACATCGAGTGGTTGCCACCTGCACGACCCAACGAGGGCCGGGGACAAACTGCAACCGAGGTACGTGCCCTTAGCGGGAACCGAACCTGGGTCTCTCTGGACCTCAGGCCAACGCTCCAACCGCTGAGCCAAACCGGCCAGGGCACGACATTCATTCTTGATGTCAAAATGCTTGCATATAATCTGAGAAGGTTTATGTTTTCTCCGTGCTTTGCTGGTAATATAAAGAGAAAGTGGTCTGTCAATATGTTTTTTCTTCTTGAATGTACAGAGGGGCCCAGAAAGTTGTGTGTCCAAGGCAACTGGACTTCTTACAATTTTGCTTTGCTGGTAAAGTCCAACTATTTGTCCTTAAGACTGTCATAGTGTATGCCCTGTTCTCAATGTTTAGCCAAATACTTTTTTTTTTTCTTTACAGGTTCCAACTTTTGTTTTTATTTTCTGTCGTTGCCTAAAAAGTTACCCCAAAACTTAATAACTGCTTACTTCTTGTGATTGTCAGTTGAATTGGTGTTCTGCTTCTGCTTTCCCGAGTGTTGACCGATGATGGCCAGCAGGTTTAAAATGCCCTCACATGTTAAGACATGTTGATGATGGCTGGCTGCGGGGAGCCCAGTAGAGGCGGTCTGCCTGAGACCTATGTCTCTCCCCTGCTGGGTTCCTTGGTTCTCTTCCAGCCATATACTTTATTTATGCACAAGTTAGCAGTGTTATAATTGGTGACAACTGTTACTTTACTCTTCCATTTCTGAAGGACCTCTGAAGTTAATGGCTTATAGCTAAGAATTAAGTCTCTTTTGGAATTGTTCATGAAAAATAATGTTTGCTGGGTTTGGACAAATAGGTTCTTTTCCTACTAAATTTCATAGTGGGTCTCCTCTTCACTCCACTAATATTCTAGATAGTCCCAATGTCAAAACTTCATTGATCTCTGCAACATGAACTGCTCCTTGGAGCCTGGATAGGGTTCTGGATGCTGACTATAAGATCAGTGAAAGCCGGCGAGAGCTGGGAGAAATATTACCACACAGAGAGCAGAATGAATGGGGAAAATGATACCAAAGAAGTACAAGTACAAAAATTAGAGTTGTAGAAAGTTCACGATGTCTTCAAAACTTTATTGGTTGGAGGCCAAAGGACGTTCTATAACTGTAATGCTAGTTACAAATTACAGCTCAAAAAGTACTAAGACAAAGTCATAATTAATTATATTTTGGGGCTAGGTGTATGATCACATTATATGTTCACTGAGCAGACTTGTTTTCTATTGAAAATCACTCTGAATACATTTTGAAGATTATGAACATTTTCACGTGTTTAGATATTTTTATTACAAGTTAATATTACTCTCATTTTAAGGAAATCACCTCTCTTTATTGACCTGCAGCTCAGAGAGTCATTCAAAGATATCAAAAAGAAGTTTAACAATTTGAAGTTTAATTACAGTAAGAAAAATGAAAAAGCTAAGAATCTGAAGTCTCTGAAATATCAAATTCAACAAGTTGATACGTATTCTGAAAAAATACAGGTAATAAAAAAGTGTGTGTGTGCATGTACTGCATTTCAACTCTGGATCCCTAATCCCTGAGCTTTTTTTTTTTTTACAGCATTGGGACTGAAAAAGTGGTTTTCCTTTTTGCAGCAACTGAGTTTTTATGTAAAATATATAATATATCAATTTTCCTTTGAAAGTGGCTCCAGAATGATTTCTACCAAAGTTATCTAGCCTCTCCGCTTTCATTCTTGCCCCAACACCCACACATACGCACACGCACACACACGCGCACATACATGTGCACACATGTAGACACCTTTTGTACATCCCTTTTTTCCTCTTGCACTTGCTTGTATAAGGAACTTCCTCTACTGTTTCTATAGGCCGTTATACCTACCTTGATTATCACATCTACTGGCTAGATTATCTGAATGCCTTTTTCAGGAAGCAGCGAACTTACTAAAGACAATAAAATATCTAAGATTATGATCATTATCTTATTTTTTATCATAGTATCATTCTAAAAATCTGGACTAGATCCTGGTATATAGTTAATTTTCTGTTTTCTGAATGCTGAATCAATATACTATCTAGAAAAATGACCATTCTTTCCAAAATACATTTATAATAATTATGATTTTAATATATTATAATGGAGGAAGCTACAATAGTTTTTTCCAAGTTTTTCCTCCAATATTTAATCACTAGCTAGCCTCTTAAATAAAAATTGAATTTTATTTTTAATACTTTATTTTTTGTTACAGGTTTTGAAAAGGAAAATGGAAAAAGTTGAGACTAGGACTCCTGAATCGTTGTTAAATTATCCAAATAATAAAGTTACTGTCCTTTTGGAAGCCATGAAGGATTTGCAGAAACATGTGGATGAGTTTGACAAAGTTGTAACAGACTACAAGAAGAATTTGGATTTGACTGAGCGTCTCCAGGAAATGGTAGAAGAGGTACCCGCTTCCTGTGATGGTATCCATATTGTAATGTCCTAGAAAATTCCTCTGAAACTCCAAAATAATGCGGCAGTAGCTATTGTTACCATTAAACCTGTGTATCATGCTCTTTTTAATGATGATTTCTTTAGGACAGTTTCCTAAAGTAGAATTGCTGAATCAAAGTGGATGCATGTTACCAGGTTTTGATTATATTGTCCAATTGCTCTTCAGAAAGACTTTACTTTATTTTCTCTTATTAGCAACATATGAGAGTTTCTCATGTCTCTATTACCTTGTCAACCCAAGATGTTTAACCATCGTGGAATTATGTTCATTGCTAGCTATCTGTCTGAAATGCTCAGAATGAGTTATTTACTTCACAGAATTGGAAAGTTTTAGAAAGAAAAGGTGATACGAGGATTTTTCAGGTACAAAAATTGTTATTGGTGTTATTTTTCTTTTCTCAAGAGGATAAATGAAAGAATATACACAAAATACATTGACAAATTAAAGTTATTATCTGCACACTTTATATTGAAGAAACTCTACACTTGCAGTCCTGAAGTGTTCTTTGAAGCCCGTTAGTCTGCGATTTAAAAAAACCTCTCTTTACCACTGATGCAGTAGAGTTTGTGTATTTAACACCACGTTAAGAGGGACCAAGATGATCATTCTTCGATAGCATGGAGGTTCGCAGCAGCTCTGTGGCCCACATTCAAAGCTGCTCCTTACAGAGTCGTGTTATTTCCCACTCAGTGCAAGAGCTTGTGGCCCTTGTGGACATGTTCCTGTCATCACAGTCATTTATTTTTAGTGAGGAAACTCAGTTCTCCATTGTGCTTTGAGAATATGACTGTCTTCTATTAAAAAAATAAAATAAAATAAAAATAAGAAGGTCAATTGCTCTTCTCCAGATGATATTTCCTCAATCATAGACTAAATGTCATTCTTAAAAGAGAAGTCATTTGAGTGTTCATTAGACAATACTTTATCCATCTACTGTAATGATTTCAATTAATTAGGCTGACTTTTGTGTGTTTAGGCTTTTTAATTTCCTTTAAGCTTGCACTTGGCTGTTCCTTAGTGCCATGTGCTTTTATATTGCCTGTTCTTGCAAGTATGTAACATTCCTCTTAGGAATCACGCTTCTAGCCAATCTAAGAAGGCGAGAAGATCAAGTGAATTTCCATACTTCTTATCTGACTCTAACATCCAAGTGCAAAGTATACGATCGTGTTTTGATATTTTTTATGAAGACTTAGAGAGTTCAAACTAATGTGAAGATAAAGTTTGAGGAAATTTAAATGTGATACTTGAATGGCCCAAACGAAGACCATTAGAATGATGGTGGCTCTTTAATCTTTGTAGTGTCATCTTTGGTGTGAAGACGCAAGTGCCACCGTTGTGAGAGTTGGAAAGTATTCCACAGAATGCCAGACAAAGGAAGCTGTGGGCATTCTCCACCAGCAGTTCAATAAGTTCATCACGCCTTCAGTGCCTCAGCAAGAAGAAAGAATTCAGGAGATCAGTGACCTCGCTCAGCGACTGTATGGTGAGGTCTCTTAAAATATGCTGTGATTCCCCATGAAACAAATCCATACTGAACCCAATCCAGCAGACACAGAGCATGGCAGGCCCTCAGGGTCCTCTCTACACCAACCTCTTCAGGGAAAACACTCAAGAGCCCTCAACCAGCAAAAGTAAACACCAGGGAATAGAGGAAGGAATTTCCGTCTGCAGATGAAGCCTGCAGATTTTTACTTTATATAAAGCCTCCTTTTCTATCCTCCAGCCCCCCCACCCCATTCTTGTTGATCATCTCCAGGGTAATAAAAAAAAAAATCTAATTTCCACTAGCGTGATTCCTTGAAAAAACATACAAAATTCCCCTAATACTTTAAATAAGTATCAAGCTAAGACTGAAGTTACAGCTTTCTCATTTCTGTGATGGTTATGGTTCGTGGACATAAGAAAGAGCTGGAAATTTTTCTCTTGCCTTCCTCTCACGTGTGAAATAAATGTGAAAACTAAAATGACCATCTCATGGGTTCTGCTTTCCTCTTCTCCAGGACTAGGAAGGGTACGTTGTTAGCTGTGCTATCTGAGAAGTCCTTCTAGCTAAAGGAGGCCCCATTTATGAAACCCCCTGGGTAATGACAGTCCTTGAGGGTGCTGAGGGATGTTTCAGGAACTCCCTGACATTGTTAACTGTGAATTCAAGACTTACTTCCAGTGACCAGGCACATTTAGCCCCCCCAAAAGATAACAGCAGGTGGTACAAAATGCTTCATTTGGCTGCCCACAGCCACGGCCAGATGGGTCTTTTCTCTTGTGACACGAAGCACTGTCCATGGACAGCCATAAAAATGTGTAGAACAATGTATGCTGCACTAACTAATATCAAATTGTTGAGAATGAATGGGGAATGATTTTCTAAAGGAAAAGAGTAGAAACATAACAATAATGAAATACAGATTAAAATCTAATGGCATGTCGCATTCTTGCTGTTGTTACTCTCTCAGTTGTACCGAAGCTGTTGGATGCACTCTGCTCTCATAGCATTGGATATGTTTCTTCTGTTACTGTATTTTTCACACTGTAGAATATGGCCTGTTTGTTTGTATCTTTGCTACTGACCACAAGCTCGTTGAGGGGAAGGGAAGTATATTTTATCACTGTTATTTCAGTACCTATTCAATTTTAGGACATGGTAAATACCCACGAAGACTCATTTTCCTCTCATCATGCACGATTCTGTATCCTGCTTTGTTTTATGTTCCTGACCCTTATTACCAAATGGCATATCATATAGTTATTTGCCTGCTTCTGCCTTTCCTTACTACAGTGTAAACTATGAGAAAAGGGATTCTGCCTACTAGTTCACTGCTTCATGGTACATACTAAGTGCTTAACAAATATGTGATGAATACATGAACAGCATGAATCCTTTTCTGTTAAGTATGAAAGTTATGCATTTTTAAAAATTTGCATCAAGTAAGATACTAAAGGAATATTATATCATCTCTTGCTGGTCACCCAAGCATTACTGAACCCAGAAGTTTAATGCAAGTAAATTTATCTCAGATACTTTTTTGAACCTATTAAGTATTAGGAGCTCTAACCAATTTAAAGATAAGTAAAACCTAGTTTCTTCATTCAAGAATCCACCGTCTAGGCGTAGAAGTCATGATATGGTAAATGCAGTGGAAAAGGTATAAAATGTGTGTATTATTCTGCTTGGGCTGCCACAGCAACACGCCATAGACTGGCTGGCTTAAACAACAGGAATTCATTTCCTCCAGTTCTGGTGGCTGAAAGTCCAAGATCAAGATACTGACAGGTTGGTTTCTCCTGGGGCTTCTCTCCTTGGCTGGCAGATGGCCACCCACTCGCTACCTCTTCACACACACCTCTGTTGTCTCCCCCTGTTCCTACAAGGATGCTAGTCATTGGTTTTGGGCCCCACCTTAGTGACCTGTTTTTAAACTTATTCATCACTTTGAAAATCTTATCTCCAAATATGGTTACATTCTAAGTCACTGGGATTGGAACTTCAGCATATGAATTTTGGGAGGAACACAGTTCAGCCCATAACAATGTGCAATACAGTTTAGCCTAAACGGTGGACTGCAGTAGTCCAAGTTCAAGTCCCTGGTCCTCCAGTTTGTTTGGGTTACCTGAAGAGGCTCTTTTGAGCCTCAGATTCCTCATTTGTGAAATGCGGCAGAACCTCCTTGAGGAAGATCACGTTAAATGATGCACATGAAATGCCTGTGCACTCACCCATGGTACACATTTTTATTACTATTCCAGTAGGGAGAGGAAAAATGCAGTTGAGGAAGATTAAAAACATTTTCACAAAGACGTTGGCATTTAGCGTAGAGATTGAAAAATAAGCAAGATTTTGACAGCAGACACGGGGAATGGGAAGGACGGCATTCCCAGTACAGGAAAGAATGCCCAGCGTCTGTGAGGATTTTGTGGGAAGAATTGCTTGTTCAGTTTGGCCAGAAATTAAATATGTGAGGGAATTAGGATGATATCCATTTGAGAGAAGCAAGTTAAAACCATATTGCAGAGGGCCTTCAATGCAGACTTTTCTGGGTAGCGAAGGACCCCTGAACAGGAGAAAACTGATTAGAATTGAGCTTTAAGAATATTAATATAGCAACATTGTTTAGGTTACATAAAAGAGACATGCAAAAGTAAATGTAACCATTTTTCTAGAATACCTGGTTCTCAAAAAATGCCTTTATTTATTTATCTGTTTAGATACCTATTTATTAAGCACTTACTATCTACCAGCCCTTACATCAGATACTGGGAAGATGAATTCATGCCTGTTTGTTTGTTTGTTTGTTTGTTTACCTGACAAGGATTTGACCTTTTAAAATACTTTTATTTCTTTTCCGTCCCAGGTCTTGAAGAAGGGCAGAAATACGCTGAAAAAATAGTGGCAAAACACAGAGAGGTTCTTGAATCTATTACTGAGTTATGTGGCTCTCTCACAGAGCTTGAAGAAAAGCTGAAGGTAATGTCCTCTCAGAATATGTATTTTCAAGTGGTACAAATAAAAAAGCATCTTCTGGTGCAAAGATGTTCTAAAGGAAATTCTCAAGGGACATAATGTGCACATTTCTGTCACAGCTTTCTAACAATTATCTGGGTGTTTCTGATAATTAATTCTGTTTCTTTTCCATCACTGCAGAGAAAAACATTGCTGAGAATGACGGCTAACCACAATTAAGGTGTCTCGTTTACATTTTAATGGATCATATCCTAAAGGAAAAATGAGTGCCATTAAAATCAAACTAAAGTCTGTATTAAGTAGTTTTGTGTTTTCATTCATAAATAATGAATATAAGTTTTTTCCCCCTCCAAATTGTGGCCCCAGAGAAAATAAAACTAATCTTTAGGTATTATATTCATTGAAAATTTAGCTTTGTGGAAATATTAAACTAATCATTGGCATTATTCGTGGAATAGAAAATTGATGCTATGTTGATTACTGTGGCCTTGTAGTATAGTTTGATATCACATAGAGTGATTCCTCCTACCTTGTTCTTCTTTCTCAAAATTGTTGTGGCTGTTCAGGCTTTTTTGTGAATCTATATAAATTTTGAGAATATTTTTTCTAGTTCTGTAAAATATGCCATTGGTGTCTTGATAGAAATTGCACTGCATCTATAGATCACTTTGGGTAGTATGGACATTTTAATGATGTTACCTCTTCCTATCCATGAACATGGTATATGCTTCCACTTATTTGTATCTTCTTCAATGTCTTTCTTCAGTGTTTTGTAATTTTCTTAGTATAGGTCTTTTACATCCTTAGTTAAATTTATTTCTAAACATTTTATTTTATGATGCAATTATAAATGGAATTGTTTTCTTGGTTTCCCTTTCTGAAGGTTCACTATTGATGTATAAAAATACAACTGATAGTGCAGACTGGTGCAGCCACTGTGGAAAGTAGTATGGAGTTACCTCAAAAATTAAAAATGAAACTGTCTTATGACCCAATAATTCCACTTCTAGGAATATATCTAAATAAACTCAAAGCACTAATTCAAAAGAATATATGCTCACTTATGTTTATTGCAGTGTTAGTTGCAATGACCAAGTGCCAATCAGGAGATGAGTGGATAAAAAAACAGTGGTACATTTACACAAGGGAAGACACCCATGATTATTGTTGTGGTCATTGTATTTATTGAGACATAATGGTGCTTTAACAATTCAGAGAAAAATTATAGGTATTTCTAGCAAACATTTTTTCTGTATGAATTCTGTAAATTTGAATACCAATTCCATTCAAAATAGTTTGCTAACCTTTTAATTCAACCAAATTGTTTTTTTCCTTTGGTTAAGAATCTAAATGTTTAACATCTTTACCATTTTAAATAACACTACAATAAATATTTCCATGCATATAGCTTTTCTTTCTTTTGTATTATTACCTATGTATAAATTCTCCAGATTTAGGTAAATGGGTATGACATTATTAATGTTTCATATATGTATATATGAAACAATATAAATTGTTAATACTTCTAATATATATTTCTCGTGCATTACACAAATGTCTACACTTAAAATGCCACCAGTAATGTATGAATGTGCCATGTAGCTTATATTATGTTTCAACATTTATCATTTCCTCCCTACCTCCACCCCACCTGAGGATCTGTTTCTCCTCCTGACTCTGATACATAGCCAGACAATCACTGCTTCCTCTGATGTTTTGCTCCCTGTTGTCTACAACATCCCTCCTATTTATGTTGCACATCTTCAAGTGAGATCCACTTAATAAAATCTATTCTCTGAAAGTTATAGCTTTCACCTTCATGGCTCTCCTTCCCAAAAGCTGTTTCCATCTCTCTCTACACTTCCTCGCTCCCCACTTCTGCTACACCCTCTGTAGTAAAGATTGGACCCCCTGTTTCTCATTTCCTACCATCACTTGGGTTGTCTTTTGCACCGGTCAGGGGCCTCTGAATTATATACTCCAGCTAGATTGCCCTTCCTACATATAGTTCTGCTGGTGTCATTTTACAATCAAAACACTTCACTACAAATTCTTCACTGCTGACCAAGTAAAGTTCAGGTTAAAGTACTCACAGTGTTCTGAGGCTGATCATCCTTCCAAACCACTGTGCTTCTATGGTCATTATAAGTTCCTGTGTCATTGGTCCAATCCCTCACTTCTAAACCTTTACTTCAAATACATGACCTTGTATATCCATTTCTCTAAATCTTACCATCCCTCAAAGCCAAACACTCTCTCTTCCACAATGCCTTCTTTGGATGTCACCTCCTCTCTGGTCCCTCCCAGCACTTGTATTCTTCTTCTTCTTTTTTTTTTTTAGCCTTACCCGAGGACATTTTTCCACTTTTTGTTCGGATAGAGTAGGAGGGAAAGAGAGGAAGAGAGAGAGAGAGAGAGAAACATCGATGTGAAAGGGACACATCAAGTGGCTGCCACCCACACAACCCAACCAGGACCGGGACAAACTACAACCAAGATGCATGCCCTTAGCGGGAACCGAACCCGGGTCTCTCTGGACCGCAGGCTGACGCTCTAACCACTGAGCCAAACCAGCCAGGGCAGCACTTGTATTCTTTCCTGGCACAATCATCAATATGACGACCATTACCATCCCCAACTTTCCTACCAGATTATATGTGAAGAAACCTTCTGGCTCTCTCAGGACAGTATCTAACACATTTACATGCTGTTTTGCCTAAAGCAGCTTCTTCAGAAAACATTTTGACATGTGTAGTAAAAACTCAAAGGTTTAGTACAAAGAAGAAGAATCATTCAATAACTCAGAAAGGTTTGATCTGGGGGGATAGAAATATGGAAAGGCCTTTCTGGCAAGAGAAGTCAGCATCAGTGTTGCCCTTAGAAGATACAACCTGAACAAAAGCTTGTCCAAGAATGCTCACTAACCCTTAGAGACGTTTGCATGAGAAGCATAAATGCCTAGCTTTTATGTTTTTAAGGTTGATGTATGGCTCTTTTTTAGGGGTTATTAAAAAGTAGGTCCAGAAATCCCTGTCAAGGCTGGAATGGTGATAATAATCCTTTCTATTTGTATAGCACTTTGAGATTTACACAAGATTTTCATATAATTACATCAGTGATTTCCAAATAACTTTATGATGGAGATAAGCAAATGTGTTTTCTCTGTTTCAGAAGGTGGCTCAAAGAGGGTAAAAGTATTTTCCTGGGGCCCCATAGTCAGTAGTGGTGGACCTAGAATTTGAACTTAGATATGATTCAAAATCTAACATTCTTTCCACAAAAGTTGCCATTTGGAATTAGGTATCAAGTGTGTACTAACGCAGAGTAACCAGTAATACAAACTAATTTAAGTTTTAGAGTTGAGGCAAAAGCTGAATACCCCTGAAATGTGTCCCCCAAATCCTCTGAGTCAGTGCAGAATGTGTGCTTTGAAGGACAGCCTGTTTCTTTAAGGCTCATGTAATGACCGTGTTCCAGGCGGAACAGAGAACCTTCTGGTGCAGTGCAGTCATCATTCTAAACTGGTGTCCTGTCACTTGGTGTACCCGTGTCTTCTTTCACCTTCACAAAGTCTCCTCAGCCCTCACACTGGCTCCATGGCAGTTTGCAAACCCCCTACCTCCATGACTAAGACAGAGCCCATGAAATGCAGAAACATCGGCATCCTTTGTTCTCAACTGTGTTTTTAATATTTTTCCTCCCTCTTTTCATGAGTCTCCCAAACATTTTACTTGTTTTTGTCCTCTGGATTTCCTACCTGGTTGTACACCAGAAACTTTAGTCGTTTCTGCCTCGTTGCTGCTCCCCCAGACTCCTAATGGTGTGAACTGCTGTGCACAATCATGCCTTTCTCTAAAGGACGCTCCTGTCGGTGCATCCTGTTGTAACAATGACTTTTTTCCTGCTGGGACTTTGAACAACCAATTTTAACTGGCAATGAACTTTATCAAAGGAGTGAGGTGGGAGAGGAACTGTGAACTTGGAGGGATAATTTCATAAATCACTGAAGGGAGCCCATCAATCCCTTGTGGAATAGTCACGAAAAGGTTGCAAGTGGCCTGTTTTCTTCCAAGTGACTATTATGTGGCACTGTTCCTCCAACTTTTCTGGCCCAGGCTCTCACTAACTGTCACTTTGTACAGCAGGGAGACGCTCTGAAGATGAGCCTGCATTTGGGAGACTTCCATGATGATAGCGTTGACCTACTGAAAGAACCAGTGAGAGACAAGCAGACAACATTCAACAAAGACATGAACAAGGTAAAGGAAACTATGTAGCCTCCGCTACTCATTACTTCTGTGTTGAGGTTCAAGTCCTTGTGCATTGCAAAAAGAAAACAAAGTGAATTGAAGCCTTCTTATCTATCTGAATCAAATCTCCCAAGGTAAATGCAATGAGTGTCCTCATCCCTTACTGCCTTTCTACCCCTTATGTACTCTTTTTGCTTCATGCTATTTCCTTCTGAGCCCCTCCTGATCAACCCTGGAACCATAGCGTTTTACAGTGACCTTGGGATAGCCATTCAAACACCATACATTACCCCAAACCACTTCTGTTTCGCTCATCTTTAGTTGTTTTTCCCATTGTCCTTGTCTAGTCAATCCTAATGTCAGATTTTACTTCTCCCCCTTATTATCCCACCAAGCTTTTGTTGTTTACAGTACCCATTAGCAACCCTTAGAAATTAGATAGTATCTTGGTCCCATAGAATCTACCTTTAAGATATTTCCAGGCACTAAAATATAGAATGTAACTAAAATATGAATACTAAACTATTTAGAGAAATGTTTAAATTACTTTAAAATCTATGCATTATAGATAAATTAAGCATGTAGCAAAAACTCCAAATATCCACAAAAAGCATGTGTTATGATATCAGACATATTATTTAGACCACATCATTATGGATTTTCAGCATACGTTGCTCACTCTCTATTCATAGCTGCTGGACTATAATTACCTCTGGACTCTTTGCTTTGCAAAGTTACCTCCTTCTTCTGTTCTCCCTTTCCCAAGGAACTGAAGGAAAATGCAGAATCAACACTATTCTCAACTGCCCCAAATTAATAAAATATATTTCTTGTGACCTGAAACTTAAAAAAGAAAAATGTTCTCACTGTTGTACTCTTATCTCATGGAGAAATAATCTTTCCTTGACATCAATATAATTCTTAGAGCTTGTTTAGAGGTCTTTGTCCACAGGTTAAGTGCAAGTGAAGATCTGGTTCAATTATGTAACCACCAGGCTGTAAGAACCATTAGAAAGCTGCCCTTTTTGGCGGGGGACCTTGAGGTACTTAAATCCTGGTTCTTCTCTGAGGCCAACCTCGGTCATCTTGTTGGACTCTAGTCTTATATCTTAGTCTTTGGTTACTCAGAATGGTCCCAATTCGGGTTTTCTAATCTCAGTACTATTGACATTTTGGCCAGAGAATTATCTGTCATTTGAACTGTCCTGTGCATTGGAGGATGTTTAGCAGCATTTTTGGCCTCTATTCTTTAGATGCCAGTGGTAGCGACCCCACCCCAACCGGTTGTGACAGCCAAAAATGTGTGTAGAAATTGCCAAATGTCTTCGGGGAAGCAAAATCACTCTTATTGAAATCTACTAGTTAAAATAATAAAGAATAACATTAAATATATCACATTTTCTTAATAAAGTTTCTAAAAGATTCTAAATCCAATGTCATTAATTTTTTTAAATTCTGCATTAAAAAATTGTCAATCACACACATTTACTAAGATTAGAAATAGAAGTTATTGCTAGCAATGCAAAAACACTCATTTATACTTAGTAAAAATGGTTTTCCTTGCTTTTATTTATTTTTCTTAGAAAAGTTAAAGGAACAAATTTTTGTCAATTAAAAAAAAGATTGACTTTCTTTGAAAAGTCATTTTTATTTTAATATAAATGAAAAGATATGATAGATATTTAGATCTGATAGATATCAGTTATTTAGGATAAAAGCGAGGCTCCACAATGATAGCTGTCACGAGCCCTCATTGACATGCTTTCATGTGTACATTTGATACAGTTGGTACAGAAAGCAAAACGAAAGGGCAGCAGTAATCCTCACTTTTTTTCAAGAGTTTTTATTGATTTTTAGAAAGAAAGAAAGAGAGAGAAAGGGAGAGAGAAAGAGGGAGAGAGAGAAAGAGAAACATCAATGTGAGAACGAAACATCGATCAGCTGCCTCCTGCATGCCCCCAACAGGGGATTGAGCCCACAACCTGGGCCTGTGCCCTGTCTGGGAATTGAACTGGGAGCCCTTCAGTGCATGAGATGACACCCAACCAACAGAGCCGCACTGGCCAGGGCAGTAAGTTTCACTTTTAAACATCTCAGTCACGTTTACCTTCTGACTGTCTCTATCATTTATATCATAGGTCAGATATACTGATTCCCCAAAACACTATGTGGGCAGATAACAAGAAGCAACACATAGAAAGGTTGTTGAGGTACCACTGAGTTCAATTCTGATACCCTTAAATTGTGTTAAAATTCCTTGGAAAGTGATATAAATCAGAAAGAATCATTCCATTAACCTATTACAAGAATGTATTAATCACAAGATTTTCATCTGAAAATAGTAATGTGCTTCTCATTTTTTCCGACCCCAAAATGCAGCAGGTGGAATTAGGCAATTCAGTCAATGCAGTGCTCAGTGCACTAAACAGATTAGTGATGGTATTTTATTCCCAAAGTGAGGACTGAAGCTAAATCCACAATGACAAGTGCAAACGCCCAAGGTTAGACGGAGGCTCAGAGTACTGAGGCGCGCCTGGAGTCGGGGAGCTGTTCACTAGGAGTTGAAGGCATGCGATGCCAGCAATTAGTTACAGAGTTCGAGTGCTAGAAGGATTTAACAATCATCTGATCAAATCTCATTTTACAGTTGAGGAAACTGAGGCCAAAAAAGATTAAATACTTTGTCCTCCAACAATCACAGAAAAGCAGTGTCGGAACTGGGCAAGCAGCCCAGTTCTGAATGTCAGCCATGTAGCTCTTTCCACAAAACCAAAGGGAGCTCCAGGGAACTGCTGCATATAAATGAAGTGTTTTGCGATGATACTATGGATTCCCATGCCAAACCTTCCCCCTCTTTGCATGTATCTGTTTACATGATAATTCATAAAGCAATAGCATAGAAGTGCTTTCCTACCAAGCAATTCAGTGATGTGCTCTTATCAAACTGGGTGAGGACAGTCCCTGGGCCCTCCCCCTCCCCCTCACATGGTAGGCTGGGGAAGATGTTCTTGACATACTTGCTTTGGGAAAAGTTGGGAAGAAGACAAAGTGTTGTTCACCAGCTTTTTGTTTTCTTTTGTCCACTCCAAGTGCCCAAGGTGCCAAGTCACTCCTGGGGGTGCCCTAAGCCCCTTAAAATTTCCCAAAATGCCTTTCATAGACCAAGCCTTATGTTTAATGTATTTTTTTCACCACTTCCTACTTAGCTACACTTAATTTTATTTAGCCCAAGATAAGACTATCTATTGAGATATTTTGGAAGGTGAAGTCTTGTGGTGTTCCATTAAATTTACCACAGAGATGGCTTCCCACTCTATGTTCTTTGAGGATTGGTACTATGTACTTAGTTTGGTGGATGTAGAATATCATTATATTCTACACTCATTTTGTTTGTCTACATGGCAATGATCATAAATAGAAGTGACTGTGTTCATCAATGGAAATGAAAGTTCAGAAATTCTGATCAAGATAAGATCTGAGGCTACAGATTTAGGATTACTTAAATAAAAGTTAACAGGCCAATAGATATAAAAGTGGGTAAGATCTTTGAGGGAGCGTATATAGAGAAGATTGGAGAACTTAAATACAAGATCATATATTGTTCATATACTTAGAAGTTTGGAAAAGAAAAAAAAAAGAATCAACAAAAAAGACCGTAACCAAGGCTGTAAGGGAAACACATGGGGAATAGCTGTATTTTAGTGAATTAGGTCAGAGTTTACCACCTTTTTTTGCCAGAATCCATCAGGTTGATGCAAATATGCCCTATCTGTGCTAAGATACATAGATTAACTACCTGTTTCTAGGAACTCTCTCTTTCTCTCTCTACTGACAGCAAAAACATTTTCATAGTGGCGAAATGTGAAAAAATAGTTGGTATACATGAATGTTTGAGAGTCAGGAAAGTATAACTCAATGAGATTTAGAAGGAATTTTTATAGAATTCCATAATGATTTGAAAACGAAAAGCTTATTTGTGTTTGATACTAAAGGCAGAAATGCCAAAAGCCAACATGGTTTACTGAGAGAAAGTTGTATTAACCTCACCTTACTTTGCTTTTTGAGATGATTATTTGCTGGGCAATTCTAGGTTAGTGCCATAGGCAAGGTTTACTATGGTTTCAGGAAGTCATTTGATAGACACATCCATGATATCTCTCTTAAGGTAAGTGGGGAAAACTGAAGGAGAGTTTGCTCAGGTTATAATTGTAGCCAAGAGTGTTGAGTAGTCCATCCACGTGAACCTGGAATGCAGCACTCCTTGCCTTGGGGAGACCTCTAGCCTTGTCCGAACCTGTGCAGTGTTCAACATTTTATCAATGACATTAATGGACAAAGTAGGAGATTCTCGTTGATTAAAAACAATATGAAATGATAGTCCCACGTGGTTATAAAAACAAACAAACAAAACTGATACAAATACTTTAATAAAAACATATGTAGATCAAGGAGATGATGAGTCCACTGATTGAGTCCCATTCTGGAAAGTAAACAAATCCTGGAAAGAAACATATTTAGGGGGAATATTAATAAGTTGGCAAGTTTCTAAAAAAAGCCTTGAGAAAACTCTCCTCCTCTTGTTGGCAGAAGTTATCTGGTAGTGTTATTTTCTGCAGAAAGTATTTTTATCATTGAAGAGTTGTAGGGAGTGAAGGATAGTATTCTTGGATTGCCTTCTTGAGTTTGGCACCGTCTGAAAGTGAGACACAGTGGTCAGGAATCAGTCACTGGTAAAGGCTGGGTTGCAGGACATGACTCGGACTTACCCAGAGGGTTTCCCAAAACTTCATCTCTGATTTAGATAGGCTTGTCTACCAAGCCACTTGGGTGCATAGCTAGACAACCGCAGGCTTCTTGTACAGGGTTTTTCGTGCCATATAGCCCATGTCAATGCACCCATTGGGTGGAAGGCAGATCCGAAAGAGACATCAAAGAGAGAGCTGAGAGTGTTGTCTCTTCTACTCAACCCGCAGTTAGGTAAACACTTCCTCTCCAGGCGGGAGTTAGGGGTAGGGAGACTAGCCGAGACTTTTATTCAAGTTTCTCTCCTGAGCTTTTTGAAAAATTTTAGACATTTTAAAACCACTCTTCTTCTCTGGAGAGGCATAAGTGACCCAAAGAAGTCATCAAGGAGTTGCCTGCCCCTGGGTGATCCGTAGATCGCAATGTCCGGCTTTCCTGTGGAGCAGCGGGTAGCCCAGGGGGAGCAGGACCGCCCAGAAGGTGGTCAGGGTGATGCAAGTTCCAGGAGTCAAGCCAGACGAAGACTCGGAGGCTTTAGTACAAAGACAGAGACCGAGGGGTTGTGGGATGAATTCTCCAAATAGTCACAGGGCTGTTTTAGGAGGAGAGCAGACGGACGTCTCTGATACTGCAGGAGGCTGGTTCAGATCCGTTGGTGGATACCGAGGGGAGGCAGATGTTTGCTAAAAACAGAAAGATATTCTTAACACAAGTGAAGCGTAAAATTATTTTCAAAGAAAGCACGCTTCAGGAAAAGTGTTCAAACAGAGGCTGCCAGCTGTCAGAGAGGAGATTTTGAGACTGACTAGGAAGTCAGATCAATGATCCTATGAAAAGGAAAACAAACCTTCTGCTCTCAGGAAGAGAGAGGAAGAGGCGGAGCTCAGCTGTGGCAGGAAAACCAGAAGAAGGAGGGGCATTCCCTGCTACCCACGTGTGTGTTTGTTTTATTGAGAAGGACTTTTAAGAACTTCTGGCTTTTAGACCCAGAATTTAACTTTCTATTAAATGGCTGAAATAAACTACTTTCTCTAAGTTGGGTTTATGATTTCTCTGAAAGCAAATCATGTCTGTAGGCTAGTAGAAGGAGCATTGTTTTATTTGTACTGCTAATCTTCAACCTAAAAACACATTTATTTCTCAAAAATCACTCAAAAATTATGTCAGGAGCAGGACTAGGTGCGGAAACGAGGAGCTCAAAGCCAAGGCAAAGCGTTACTTTCTTAGGTGCAAGCTGTGGCCATGGGGCAAAACCCAGTAATTGTTAATTAAGTGAAAAGGCGCCCAAAATGCTGAGGAAACGCAAAGACAAAGACCATGTAAAACAAGCAGGTTGGGGTAGAGGAGATCCCTTCAGCCTCACTGTCCTTTTGGGTCCGTGCCAGAGGGTATATCTGAGCCCTTCTTAAACCAGAGATGGACGTGGCTTAGTGGGGAGAAATAACAGAGCAGCGGGTGATGCACTGTTGTCCGTGGTCTCCTAGCACAACTTACATTCCACAAGGGACAGAAACAAGTGGCAGGTATTCCTCGATTGCACCTTGGTGCGTTTTGCTGTGAAAGGTCATGATGTGTGATTATTCTGTTACTATGGACATCCCCCACTAGACTGTCATCTCCATGAAGGCGGAGACTGTGTTCACTGTTACGCATCATTTTCTCTCTCCAGTGCCTGGCACACTACCTAGTATATCATAGGCTCTCAGTAGATGTTTTGCAATATGAGAATAAAACTAAGGGGTGTTAAGAAAATAAAGCCAGTCATTCAAAATTACTTTCTCTCTATGAAGTACCTAGCATTGTCAAATTCATAGAGACAAAGTAGACGGGGCTAGAGGAGGGAGAATGGAGAGCTAGTGTTTAAAGGGTACAGACTTTTCCTTGGAAAGATGAAAAGTACTGGAGATGATTAGCAGTGATGGTTGCACAATAATATGAATTATTTACTGCCACTTAACTACACTTAAAAGTGGTTACAATCACCCAGCCGATGTGGCTCAGTGATTTAGCGTCAACCCATGCAGTAAGAAGTCGCAGGTTCGATTCCCGGCCAGGGCACATGCCCAGGTTGTGGACCCGATCTCCTGTGGGAAGCATGCAGGAGGTGGCCAGTCGATGTTCTTTCTCATTGATGTTTCTATCTCTTTCTCCCTCTTCCCTCCTCTCTAAAATCAATAAAGAAAAAATAGTTAAAAGGGTCAATTTTATTATGTATTTTTTGCCACCAAAAAAAAAAAAAAAAAAAGGAAAAGAAAGAAAAAGAATGGCTCTCCTGAGAAAGGAGACGGATTATTCTAGTCGAATCCGAGAGCTCACCTAACAAGGGAGCCTCTACGTAAGGAGCTGTTCAGTGAGTGCAGACAGGTGAGCCAGAGCAGAATTTGCAGGTGCAAGGACGCTCCTCAGGTTATGATTTGAAAAGACATTTGGCCAGTCCAACTTCTTCATTGGAGATGATAACCAAGCCTTTCTGTCTTCCGTCCCACAAGGTCTATCACAGTTTCCTCGGAGACTGAAGGTCAGTGTGCTGATTCCTTAGTCATGGGGTGGGACAGTGCCCAGGTTAACCAGGCAGGTGGTTTCAGGTCCTGAGATGCTAAAGCCGGGGCCCCACGCTTGAACTCACTGTAGGCTTCCTCAGCTCGTCTCTCTGAAGTTGAGTTGGAGGCCTGGAAAAAGAAAACTCAGTGCCTAATTCAAAGCTTTGGCTTCTCTGTTTTGAAGGAGCAAGCGCAGGTGGCAGATTTGTGGGCCATCAGCGAGACAGGAGAGGGTCGGCTTCCTCAGGACCTGGCGCAGCTCTCCTCTGGCAAAGCGGGTGGGGCCCACGGCCTGCTCCTGCCTGCGGACATGCTTCCAGGAGAAGAACCCGAGTGTGCCTCACCTGATGACATCTCCTTGCCTCCGCTCCCAGGGAGCCCCGATTCGCCCCTTGCACCGTCTGACATGGAGCTGGAGGAACAGGCCAGCCCCTCCCCCAGCCTGCACATGAACAGCGACAGGATGCAGACAGGGACCAGCGGTCCAGGGGAGGCCCAGGAGCCTGGCCTTCCACCACCTGCTGCATTTGCTGATACTTGCAGTGATAAGAGGGAAACATTTTCAAGTCATTTTGAGAAGCCTTACCCCCAGCTCAAAGCCGAGCCCCCGTTCGCCTCCGGAGGATTTCTGGGAAAGAGCACTGCCGTCGGCACAAGCAGCGCTAAACCCCGCGAGAGCATGCGGAGCGAGGTGCATGGGAGAGCTTTCCAGCAGCACCCGCAGGCTCGGGGGGGCGAGCTGGGAGCACGGGAGGAGATGCATGCTGATAGTAACGGCACTAAAACCCAGCCTAGGCTGCATGCTTCCCAGGATGCGATCTCGAGCCTCGCATTTCAATTAGGCCCCAGCCGGGTCTACCAGAGGCAAGCGGTCCCCCAAGAAGAGATTAGAAGTACATCAGCCAAGAACAGCGTGGGCAGCCTAGCTGGCCAGGCACCTAATTTCTCCAGGCTCCTGTCTAATGTCACTGTCGTGGAAGGTTCTCCAGTGACTTTGGAAGTGGAAGTTACAGGATTTCCAGAGCCTGCACTGACATGGTGGGTAGCCTATAATGACGAGCCATAAACAGAAACAAATTGAATCACTGAGCTAGTCGTTGGTGGGCACTAACTCACAGGTTAGGGACGGCTGATTAATATGCTATGATGCTGTAGCTCTGCATGGTTCAGCCCCAACAACCCCCAACTCTCATTTTAGTAGCAGCATGACGAATACCCTGAAGGGCAAAAAGTAACCATATGAAAGAATAATGTAACAAACTCCAAAAGCACTGTGTGCATTGTGCCATTTTGACAGTTTAACATTCCACATGTCTAAAGATGGGGGGTGGAAATGCTTTCCTATTGTTTATTTTTGCATAAGCATGACATTTTCTTGGTTTAACATCCCTTATTCAATTAAAAAACATAAGAACTTGGGTTTTCCCCTCTTCTTTTATTTACCTGTCTCAACTATTTTCTCTACCCAACAGTCACTCATGACACTTGCAGTACTTGTGTTTCACTAAGGTTTCGTTTTATACGTTTCTTCAATGTGAGAGATGGAATAAAAATATTTCTTTCCCAGTTACCCCCAGTGGCAGGTATAAACCCATTTTTGAAAGGTGCTGTAATAGTTGAGCTGTAAACAATATGATTTCACTCTGGAGACATTATTATTTTTAACCTATTTGTTTTCATGAAAGTCAACTGCAGAATGCAGGTTTTGAATCACATACTGTTGTTATAAAAGCAATTCTAACTTTCTCAATACATGGGGTTACTTTTACACATTTAGAAATGTTTCATCTTTAAGTAGATTTATTTGAGGACAAAGCTATACATTTGGGGGAACGAGTTTATATTTCTAAACTAAGATAAGTAAAATAGCATTTATTTATCAAAATGTTTTAGCAGGTAGTAAATGATCAGTTTCAGAAACTATGCGTGCCCAGTGATAGTTCTTGGAGTGTGAATCGGTTATCTAAAGACTTGATGAGAAAACTTTGTTTCTCAGATTATTAAAAGAAACTGCACTTTTGCTACAGTGCAACCATTTATGCCTTTTGTTTTATTTTGTTGTTTTTACAAATGCATGTTTTTTACAGATCAGGAATTTCATATTTATGAGTTTAAATGATATTTAATTCACCATTAAATATCACTTTTCCCCAAAGAAAAATGTTGTCTGAAGTGTTTCTTGTTTTTGTCCACATAACAAATAACTTGATTAGTATATGTTATTGAAGAACTATTGTAACTAGAATACTGAAGGACTATTGTGAGAAAACATCTTGCCCTCAGTTTTGCTCCATTAACAACTGGCAAGCTATCATATGTTCTTAGGACACTCAGAAAAATGCAAATTATCACGTAGGCCTTGGGAACAGAAAACAATTCAGGTTTGCCATCACTTCTTGTGTAGAAGAATGGGGTATAACTAAGCCGACAAGAATCTAAAAATACAAAATAAACAAATTATTTGTGTTATAAAAAGATGCAGCTAAGTGCTCATATGCACAGAAACTTTTAAGAACAGTAATAATCAGTTGCAAAAATGTCTTTTATACTAGAGATCATTTTCTTCTAATGAAATGGAATCATTAAGTAAATGAACTCATTTCTCCAGGAAAGGCTGTGTAAGTGCCTCCCTCTAACGCAGCCCCTGGGGTTCCCGTGCGGATCGCATGGATGAGCACAGAGGGGCAGCTGAGTGCTGCTCCAGTAGATTCCAGACGGTACAAGCCGCTGCCCTCTAGCGGCTGAAAGAATGGGGGGCCCCATAAGAGGGTACCACCTCCCATTCCAGATCTTTGCCATGAGCAAATGGAGCCCCACTGTGACCAGATTGTCTGTTTTATCTTTTTAAAATATTTTTTCCTTTATTGATTTTAGAGAGAGGAAGGAAGAGGGAGAGAGAGATAGAAACATCGATGAGAGAGAACATGGATCAGCTGCCTCCTGCATGCCCCCCACTGAAGACTGGGCCCACAGCCTGGGCATGTGCCCTGACCGGGAATGGAACCGGCGACCTCTTGGTGCATGGGACGATGCTCACCCACTGAGCCACACCGGCCAGGCTGGTCTGTTTTTTTGTTTTTTTGTTTTAAGAGTAGTTGGATATCTGAATTTTAACATGCAACATGCCAATTGTTACACGTTGTCAAAAAAACTGTTTTTTAGAAAACATGGCCTGCGCCCATCAGGCCCTTCTCTGGCCACCAGCTGCCCGCCACTGGGATGTGTGTAGCTGCAAAGCGCCGGCTCCTGCTAGAGAATATTGCAGTGGAGATGGGCCTAGTTGCAATGGTTTTTAGAAATTGGATAGGACATGAATAAGCAGTGATCCTGACTTTAAAAACTGACTCTCTGCTTCAGGTACAAGAAGGGCCAGAAATTGTCTTCAGACGGACACTTACAGGTTTTACACAAGGAGACAAGACACTCGGTGTTCATTCCGAAGGTATGCGGGGCAGATGCAGGCCTCTATGTGGCTCAGGCCCAAAACTCTAGTGGCATTCTCTCTTCCAATGTCATCCTCCATGTGACAGGTAACCGCAGGCCGCCAATCACACGGATAAACTGGATAATGCTGTGTGTCATCTATGTTAGTGTATCGCTAATGTACTGGCTACTCATACAGTAACTGTGGAGTTGGCACCCATGGACGTCATTCTCATGAACCTAAAGGACAATCCAGTTGTTTATTTTCCTGCATCTCCCACAAAGCATCCCCCTCCAAGTGTACCTCCCTTCTACCCTATTGCTTATTTGGTGAATACTACTGTTTGGTGAAATAATGCAGTTTTCTTTAGTGCTCTGATCTATTTGAGAAGTTTGGTAAATTACTTGCCTTGGATAAGATACATTTTTTTATTCTAGAAAGAGATGTTTTCAATATAAAACACAGTAAAATGATGCTATGTTTATTCCTTCCTAATTTAGCAGCATGCAGACCAAAGCTCCCAGCATCGAAATGTGAGTCAATTTTCAAATCCAATTGTTTGAAAATGTATTTCTAATTGTACTCATAAACATCTCTTTGTAGAGTAACAGTAGGAATATTAAACTGAAGTTGGACTTTTCGTTATTGCATTAGGTGATGTTTAATTTTGTTTTTCATGCCTTGAGCTCATTTATCGAAATGTATTCTATGTGGTTTCAACATAGCCCACATTCCTGAGTCTGAGGATGCTGCTGTAAATAACCTCGTGTTGCTCTCATGGGTTTGACATTGGAGAATAGGTGTGCGTCACCTTTACATGGACTTTCAAAGTTCCGTCAGCTGTGCGTGGCCTAGAGCAAGATGGAGCGCAGGCCGGGGAAGGGACCCCCATTCCAACGTTACTCCTGGCGCTCCATTGGCATGTTTGGGGCGGCCACGTTCCTCCTGCTTCTCATCTTCATTCTGCTGCTGACATTTTTGCAGCCTATGGTAGGCATATCAGTGCCTCAGTTTCCCATTTGGAAAATGGGTTCATCTTCTACCTCTTGGAAAACTGAGAGTTTCATTTCATGTCTTATAAAGATCTGGAAAGCGAGTAGCATGCTATGAAGACCAAGGATAATTATATTGTTTGATGTAACTTGTCATCTCCCTGCCTCCTGCCCACTGTTTCTCGTTCAGATGTTGTTTCTTCAGACGTGAAATTAAAGGAGTGGGGTTAGTTTGTGATCTCCAAGGATTCCCATGGGAGAAAGTGGTGTTTTATGAACTGGAGCTTAAATTCCCCTCTAATTTCTTAAGACTACATCTTTTCCAGAGACTTGAAATTAAACTCATGGGGTGCATTTAGTATGATCTAGGGGGAAAAGGTGTGTAGTAAAATGACATAAAATGAATCCTATTCTTACAATTATCACTGTAATATTGAAGAATGCTCTATGCCTTTCTAAAATATATTATTCAGAAAAGAAGATCATCTTTTTGGCTCCTTTTAAAAATAAACGTGAATAAAAGATGCATTTGTTTTTTAGATTTTAAATATAGTCTTGTAATTCTAGGGCAAAATCTTGAGTTGAAAGAATAATTCATTATAGTATTTTGATGAAGGGAAGGAGTTAATTATGTTGCTATAAGACTGTCTACAAATAATAAAATATTTAAATGTAATATATTCAAGTTGGTATTAAAATGTTTATGAATGTTATCTTAAGATGTGAACTGTGTGGTTGAATCCAAAGTTGCATTTTTTCCCCTTGTGCTTCATATTCAGTTTAATTAAAATATTAAATCTTTTAACTTTCTTCCAAATTTTGACATAAATCTATTAAAAGCTTATATATACAACATCTCAGGGAATACGCAGTCTCTTAACTCGCCTGTCCTTTCGGTCCAGTTTCAAGTATTTTGCAAATCTTGCTAACTGCTATTCCCAAGTTGAAACTGAAGAGTGACATCTGTTCATGCCCAAAGAGGATAGGCAGGACCAGGTAACAACCTCTTGTACCATCCTCTATCTCTGTCTTGTTGATTTAGTGAGATCGCCTTTCAGCTTGGTTGAATTTGCGGCTGGGGATTGTTAGGGCATGGGAACTTCACGATTCCATTCACCTGTTGCATGCCAGATGATGTTAATTCTTCAGGGAACAGGGTGTTAAAAAGGCATATAAAGTCCCTGCAATATTTGATGCATATATAAGATTATATATAATTATCTATCAATCTACACACACACACACACACACACACACACACGTACATACATACATAGAGGTCAAATATTGGGAAAAGGCATTATGCAGATATTCACAATATATATCTTTCAGTATCTATCTATGTACCTACCCACCCCCCTACCTACCGACCTACCCACCTATTTTTCTGGGCTATCAATTGACTAGTAATTCCCACAGCAATAAAGAATAACTAGTTATTGGTTATATTTAAATTTCAAAGACTTAAGTGTGATTTTTCTTTATGCTAGGATTTCTGTCTTGATCAAAGAATTTTTCGTGTGAAAATATGAACTAAAATTATTAGTTAAAAAGGAGAAACAGCCTGGCCAGTGTGGCTCAGTGGTTGAGTATAACCCATGCAGCAGGAGGTAACTGGGGCTATTCCTGGTCAGGGCACATGCCCAGGTTGTGGGCCCAGTCCCCAGTGTGGGGCATGCAGGAGGCGGCCAATTGATGTTCTCACTCGTCGATGTTTCTATCTCTCTCTCCCTCTCCTTTCCTCTCTCTCTAAAATCAATAAAGAAAAAAAATTTTTTTTAAAAGGAGAAACCTATGAATTTCAAATGGTGATCCTATTTTAAGACATAATGATGATTTTTACCCATTTACTTCTAGAAAAAATTCTGGACAGTTTGTAATATCAAAACACCTTTTCAACAAGAAAATGAAAATAAAGATTAAAGAGAATATGTACTTGACACCTTCAAGGAGCATAACACAGCATGTGTGCTGAGCTTCCTATAAGGCAAAATCACTGTGTTTTCCAGTTCTCATTTTCTAAAAAGAAAAAAAAAAAAAGGATGTATGAACATTTGGTGGTAACGCTTTCCTCACACTGAATTCCAGGAGAACTTTACTGTATAAATTCTTGCATTTGGCTCTCTGCATATTTTATAATATCTAAACTATTTGAGAATAGAACCAGGAAAAATGAGCTATTTAGCTATTTCCTTCAGTCATGTTAACCATCACATAGAGTCAAGACACAGGTTTAAAATAGATTACTACAAGAACCTTCCACTTTAGTCTAAATTCAAGTCGTGTACAGGCCCTTTCATACCTGGACTCCCCTTCCCAGCCTCTGCCCCATCCTTCCGACCTCCCCTCCCCCCCAAAGCAATATTTAACTTCAGGTTTTTACCGTTTCTTGCTCTTTTTTCTCTCTAGTCCTTTCTCCTCAGCACTCCCTCGCTATCTTCTACCTTATCGATATGTCACTTAACTGCTGCCTATCTTCCCAGTTCCACTGGAGACACGTCCCCCCGCCCCCCAAGCCGCCGGACCATCCAGAGTGCGGACGGATGTCCCTGCTGTCAGCACCAGCGGTGCCCATCGCGCGCCCCTCGTGCGCAGCATCGGGATTGCATGTCCCAGCGTCTGTCTCCTCCCGCCAGAGTGTGAGACCCTTAGCAGGATCTCGACAGCCCTGTTCACCATTATATCCCCGGCACCAAGGACATAGTCACACTTGATATTATAGTTCTTGAATTGTTGTCAGAGGTAAACAAAGATAAACTTAGCTTGTTTTTGTTTTTTCTTTTTGGAGAAGGGGAGTGAGAGGGATGCAAAACGAGAACGAGGTATTTGTTACCGGAGTATTCTTCCTTATTGTGAACGTTACCAGTTATAATCAGCTTCTAGCCAGGAAGTATGCATAGAACACTTAACCTACAAAACTTAAGTGAGAACCCTCCTGATCCTCGGAGCTAGACCCTGATGGAAAATTCAAATTTAAAGATAGGTGCTGGCTTTCATGGTCAAAATAATACTGAGAAGAGGCAAAACCCGAGACTATTGTTCCCACAGTTTAAAGCAGATAAAATCAGGCGTCAGTCAACTTCAGGTGTCAGTGTAGAAGGGGGTGTCTCTGCTCTCAGTGACTATGTCCCAACTGCCCAATCCAGAATGGATGGACTGCTTTAGAACACCGCACAAATCATCAATATTGCCTTGTAGCTGGGACTCAGTATTCTGATTGTCAACAGATCTTATCTGAAACCAGCATTTTGTTCTTGTGTAAATATTTTAAAAAAAAAATCCAAATCCAAACATGGGGGTACATATATTTGGATTTGGATTTTTTTGAAAAATATTTACACAAGAACAGAATGCTGGTTTCAGATAAGATCTGTTGACAATCAGATTACTGAGCTCTATCTGGAAACAGCCCAAATGTCCATCAGTAGACGAAGGGATAAAAAAGCGGTGGTACGTATACACAATGGAGTACTATGCAGCTGTAAGAAAGAAAGATCTCTTATCCTTCGAGACAACATGAAGGGACCTGGAAAGTATCATCCTAAGTGAAACAAGCCAAACAGAGAAAGACAAGTATCATGATCTCACTTATTTGTAGAATATAATGAACATAACAGTCTGAGGAATGGGGTAGTCCCAGAGATGGGGAAGTGGGGTACAGACTGACAATCCCCACAAGTGGGGGTGGTGGGGAAGAGATAAACCACAGAACTTATATGCATGTATGCATGAACATTGGACATGGACAACAAAGCTGGGGACAGGGTGGGGAGGGAGGGGGAGGGGGGAATCAGTGGGGGGGAAAAGGAGAAACATCTGTAACAAAAATTAATTAATTAATTAATTAAATAGTAAAAAAAATTCAAATCCAAGAACTTAGATCTATTTGAATTCCAAATGAAGGAAGGAAATAATACAATATCTTGTTTCACTTTGTTTTTATTTATGACCACTCCTTATTAGAAATTGCCATCTGAAGCTTTTTTGTTTTTTTTCAATCCCACCCGAGGATATGTTTTTATTGATTTGAGAGAGAGGAACGGAGAGACAGACAGAGAGAGAGAAACATCGATGTGAGAAACATCAATCGGTTGCCTCCCTTATGCGCCTGACGGAGGATTGAACCCGCAACCTATGTATGTGCCCTGACTGGGAATGGAACCTGAGAATTTCTGGCTTATGGGACAAAGCTTCAATCCACTGAGCCAC